TCCATTCATCCATAGAAGGGGACTTGGGTTGCTTCCACTTCTTGGCTATTGTGAATAATCCTGCAATGAACATAGCGGTGCATAAATCTCTTTGGATCATTGATTTTAAGTTCTTTGGCTACATATCCAGTAGTGGGATAGCTGGGTCGTATGGTATTTCTATTTTTATTTTTTTGATAAATCTCCATACTGTTTTCCATAGTGGCTGTACCAGTTTGCATTCTCACCAGCAGTGCATGAGTGTTCCCCTTTCTCCACATCCTCTCCAACATTTGTTGTTTTTTGTCTCGGTAATTATAGTCATTCTGACTGGTGTAAGGTGATACCTCATTGTAGTTTTGATTTGCGTTTCCCGGATGATTAGTGATGTTGAACATCTTTTCATGTGCCTGTTGGCCATCTGTATATCTTCCTTGGAAAAATGTCTGTTTATATCCTCTGCCCATTTTTTGATTGGGTTGTTTGTTTTTTTGTTGTTGAGTTGAATGAGTTCTTTATATATTTTAGAGATCAACCTCTTGTTGGAAAAATGATTTGCAAATATTTTCTCCAAGTTGGTGGGTTGTCTTTTCGTTTTGTTGATGGTTTCCTTTGCTTTGCAGAAGCTTTTTAGTCTGATGTAGTTACATTTGTTAACTTTTTATTTTGTTTCCCTTGCCCAAGTAGACATGGTATTTGAAAAGATGCTGCTAAGACCAATGTCATATAGTGTACTGCCTATATTTTCTTCTAGGAGTTTTATGGTTTCAGGGCTTACATTCAAGTCTTTAAGCCATTTGGAGTTAATTTTTGTGTATGGTGTATGATAATGGTCTACTTTCATTCTTTTGCATGTGGCTGTCCAGTTTTCCCAACACCATTTGTTGAAGAGACTTTCCTTTCTCCATTGTATGTTCTTGGCTCCTTTGTCAAAGATTAATTGTCCATAGACATGTGGTTTTATTTCTGGGCTTTCAATTCTGTTCCATTGATCTGTGTGTCTGTTTTTGTGCCAGTGCCATGCTGTTTTGATTCCTATAGCTTTGTAGTATATTTTGAAGTCAGGGATTGTAATGCCTCCAACTTTGTTCTTTTTTCTCAGGACTGCTTTGGCTATTCGGGGTCCTATGTTGTTTCACATAAATTTTAGAATTCTTTGTTCTATTTCCATGAAGAATGTCATTGGGATTCTGACTGGGATTGCACTGAATCTGTAGACTGCTTTAGGTAGTATGGACATTTTAACTATGTTGATTCTTCCAACCCATGAGCATGGACTATCTTTCCATTTTTTTATGTCTTCTTTAATTTATTTCAATAATATCTTATAGTTTTCAGTGTATAGGTATTTCACCTCTTTGGTTAAGTTTATTTCTAGACACTTTATTCTTTTTGTTGCAATTGTAAATGGAATTGTATTCTTGATTTCTCTTTCGGTTACTTCATTGTTAGTGTATAGAAATGCAACTGTTTTTTTGTCAGTTGATCTTGTACCCTGCAAATGTGCTATAGTTGCTGATTATTTCTAATAGTTTTCTGATGGATTCAAGTGATAAAATGGCAGTCTTAAGCCCTCATATATCAATAATCACTCTAAATGTAAATGAACTGAACTCTCCAATCAAAAGACACAGAATAGCTGAATGGATTAAAAAACAAGATCCAACAATATGCTGCCTCCAGGAAACACACCTCAGCTCTAAAGACAAACACAGGCTCAGAGTGAAGAGATAGAAGATGATGCTCCAAGCTAACAGCAAACAAAAGAAAGCAGGTGTTGCCATACTTATATCAGACAAAGCATACTTCAAGTTAAAAAAGACAATGAGAGGGGCCGGCCTAGTGGCGTAGCAGTTAAGTTCGCGTGCTCCGGTTCAGTGGCCCAGGGTTCGCAGGTTCAGATCCCAGGTGCAGACCAATGCACTGCTTGTTAAGCCATGCTGTGGCAGCATCCCATATAAAGTAGAGGAAGATGGGCACAGATGCTAGCCCAGGGCCAATCTTCCTCAGCAAAAAGAGGATTGGCATCGGATGTTAGCCCAGGGCTAATCCTCCTCACAAAAAAAAAAAAAGACAATGTAAGACAAAGAGAGGCAGTATATAATGATAAAACAGACATTCCACAAAGAGGACATAACACTTGTTAATATATATGCACCTAACACAGGGGCACCAAAGTACATAAGGCAACTATTAACAGACCTAAAGGGAGAAATTAACAGCAACACAATAATAGCAGGGGACGTCAACACCCCACTTACATCAATGGATAGATCATCCAGACAAAAAGTCAACAGGGAAATAGTATATTTAAATGAAACACTTGGTCAGATAGACTTAATAGATATGTACAGAGCATTCTATCCAAAAACACCAGAATACACATTCTTCTCAAGTGCACATGGATCATTCTCAAAAATAGACCATATGTTGGGAGAGAAGGCAAGCCTCAATAAATTTAAGAAGAATGAAATCACCTCAAGCATCTTTTCTGACCACAGTGCCATGAAACTAGAAATCAATTACAAGAACAAAACTGGGAAAGTCAGAAATATGTGGAGACTAAACAACATGCTACTGAACAACTATTGGATCAACGAAGAAATCAAAGGAGAAATTAAAAATTACCTGGAGACAAACAAAAATGAAAATACACCATACCAACTCATATGGGATACAGCAAAAGCGGTCATAAAAGGAAAATTCATAGCAATACAGGCTCACCTCAACAAACAAGAAAAATCTCAAATAAGTAATTTAAACTGCACCTAACAGAACTAGAAAAAGAAGAACAAACAAAACCCAAAGTCAGCAGAAAGAGGGAAATAATAAAAATAAGAGCAGAAACGAATGAGATAGAGACTAAAAAAACAGTAGAAAGGATTAATGAAACTAAGAGCTGGCTCTTTGAGAAGATAAACAAAATTGACAAACCCTTAGCCAGACTCACCAATAAAAAGAGAGAGAAGGCTCAAATAAATAAAATTAGAAATGAAAGAGGAGGGCCGGCCCCGTGGCTTAGCGGTTAAGTGCGTGCGCTCCGCTGCCGGCGGCCCGGGTTCGGATCCCGGGTGCGCACCGAGGCACCACTCCTCCAGCCATGCTGAGGCCGCGTCCCACATACAGCAACTAGAAGGATGTGCAGCTATGACAGACAACTGTGTACTGGGGCTAAATAAAAAAAAAAATAAATTTAGAAATGAAAGAGGAGAAATTACAACAGATACTGCAGAAATACAAAGCATTATAGGAGAATACTATGAAAAACTATATGTCAACAAATTGGATAACCTAGAAGAAATGGATAAATTCTTAGACTCATACAACCTCTGAAAACTCAATCAAGAAGAAATAGAGAATCTGAATAGACCAATCAAGTAAAGAGATTGAAAGAGTAATCAAAAATCTCCCAAAAAACAAAAGTCTAGGACCAGATGGCTTCTCTGGAGAATTTTACCAAACATTCAAAGAAGATTTAATACCTATCCTTCTTAAATTATTCCAAAAAATTGAAGAAGATAATTCTAGATTTTAAAAATTCAATTCATTTACAGTCTTCCCCAAAATTGCCAGATTTCCTCATCATCAAATTCTACTAAACATTTAAGGAAGAAATAACACCAATTCAAATCAACTATTCCAAAGAAGGAAAAAAGTTATATAAAGAAAAAGAAAATTATATACATATAAGGGTGGACTAAATTTGATATTAAAACTTGACAAAAGTTTTATGAGAAAAAAGACAAATGCCAATAATTCTAAAAACATTTTTTTGCATAAGCAAATTCATACAATAATCCTAAAAACATAAACAAACTACATCTGTTAATACCTAAAAGGAATAATACATCACAACCTACTTGAAATTCTTCCAGAAATACAAGGTTGTCTAACATTTTAAAATCAATCCATATAATTCATCACCTTAATGAAATATAGGAGAAAAATCATGTAATTATCTTATAAGATATAGAAAAAGCAATACACATTTATGATTTAAAAAAAAACCCTTAGCAAAGTAGGACTAGAAGAAAACTTCCTTATTTTTCTTTAATTAATAAAAAAAAAACTACCACAAACAGCACACTGAAAGGTGAAAAATTAAAGGCCTTCCCCTTCAGTTTGAAAACAAGGATTGTGGGTATATGGTTAATATATAAAAATGGAGTACATTTCCATAGATAACGTTAGAAAATAAAATTTTAAAAATTCATTTTCACTGAGAGACAATAATTTCATAGAGCAGATTCCAAAATTGCTCTGAACTAATAGAAAAAGAAAAACCAAATGTCCTTCAACATTGTAGCATAGAGAATACTATAAAAAAATGAAATTAAACTAACTCCTCCTACAGGCGGCAAAATGAATAACTCTCATAAGCATACTGACGAAAGAAAGTTCCAGACATAGGATTCCATTTTATAAAATCAAAAAAAAAAAATCAGAAATTACTGTATATAATAACACATAATTAAGTGGTAAAACTAACAAGAAATGCAAAGATGTGATTACCATAAAACTCAAAATAACAACTGCCCTTCGGGAGAGGAGTAGAGATTGCGGGGGCGGGCAGGGTATGATGAATGTTTCCAGAGTGCTAGCTATGGTCTATTTTTAGATTGGAGGTGGTTACACGGGTGTTTGCTATGTGATGATTCAGTTATGTATTTAAGTTCCGTGTATTTTCTGCATATATGTTGTATTTCACAAATAAAAGCATTAAAAAACATAAGTGAGTAAACAAATTACCCTAATGAGTGGACTTAAATGTATACCTTAGTTTATTTTTCTTGAAAAGGAATACATTCATAAAAGTGATCTTACATACATATTTGTTAATAAAAATCATTAAAACATTTAACCATCATGAGTCACATAAATACTGAATAATAATCTACATTAAACATAGTAATATACACAATACACTTAACATAGTGCCTAGCATACAGTAAGTGATCAGGAGCTATCTTTTGGGAGGGTTGTTACTATTGTTGTTATAGTCATTGGATATTTTTACTTACTTCAAGGAGACCTGACAAGTACTTCATACAAATTTCGAGCGGCTTTGTGAGAGGAGAATGTGAGCTCCATCCCGGAAACGCCGTGAGGTGAGCCATCCCTCGTAAGGTCCTCTCGAGGGAAGGCAGGCCATAGAAATGAGGAGCATCCGTGACTCTCAGACACTGGAGCAGTTTCAGAGCCAGCTGTGTTTGGAAAACATAAAAAAGTTCCAAGCACTTCCTGTGTATGTAAAGGAGGAAAAAAATCAACCAGAGAACAAATGTGACAGGCTTACTAGGCTTTCTTACTGTAGTATAGGGTTATCAACAACTTACTGTATCAGAAAAGTGTGAACCAGGGGAAAGGCAGAAAATATTCCCTCTCAAAATAAGCCTTTTCAAGAAAAACATAGTTAAAATACCATCTAGGGTATATGATGCAAAATACAAGTAGCAATTACATTAAAAAATACATAAATAGATATTGGTACCACTACCCAATACTGAAATTAAAAGTTGGAATGAAAAATTAAATGCAGTTTCAATGAGTTTAACTAGCATATATTAAACCCTTACATTTAATCATTCAGTATCAGTAAAATATTAAATTTTTAATTGGATAAGATGTATTGTTTTTTCCCCAGAAAGCTAAAATAAAAGGAAAAGAAAGGTTTTAATAAGTTTGACACATAATTTAAACAAAACTGTCAGAAACAGATCAAGAGAACATTTTCTACCAGAAAACAAAATCCCTTAAATTAAGCAGCTAGGCATGGATCCAAAGATATAATTCCTGCAAGAAATAATATCATTGTGTAACAAAACATTGAATAAAATCTGAAATTTCTTCAGTTTTACAGATCTTTAGAATCCAAAACTGACAACTGACTATATTACTACCCATTCCATCACAGTATTACAGGTGTACAGGTGCATGATTTTTAAAGATCATAATTTTTATACACCTGTCATCCAGCTGCTTTTAAAGTTTTAGAAAGACACAAAACTTAAACAAAGCCTAAAAGTTATTTATATAAATTCATATTTCTCACAGATCAACAACAAGGTAATCTAACTAATATCATTAAAATTGTTCTGTTTTTTAATCTAACATGCAAGTCATTCTCATTTTCTGCTCCTCTTATCTTAATCATTTAAGAAAAACTATACAACCAAAGGGATTGGAGCCACTGCAAACATCCAACCTCCAACCTCAGTTAAACCCTGGCATATCTGCACCCAGTTCCCTCTCCTGGTCCCTGCAAACTTTCCCCAAGCTCCACAGCCAGCTGCCTCACCCCCACACAAGTTCCCCTCTTGGCAAACGGTCTTGCCTCTCATTTCATAGCGAAAAATGAAATTATCAGAAGTTAATTCCCTCCATGTCCTTCTCCCCACACCTACACCCTTATCTATTTAATCCCACTTTATCTCTTTATCCCACACTCTTTTCTAATGCACTGCTCATTCATCTCTCTCCTCAACATACATCTCTTCCCCTGCCCTCATTTTCTCTCTTCTTATTTCTTTCTCTCCTTAACTACCTCTCTTCTCTTCTGCCCTCCATCTCTTTTTCTTCTTCTCACTCTAATTTTCCCTTATGATAGGCACATGTCCAACAACCTATAAGCATGTATAAGTAGCTTCCATCCTAAAACAAATAAAAATCCTAACCTGTTCTTGACTGACACATAAAAGAAGGTGTATCACACACTCTTTTCCTTAACATCAAAACTCACCTAAAGAACAATGCACACCATTGTTTCTCAAAGCCTAGTTCAAGGACCACCTGTGGTGCTTACTTAATATGCAGATTCCTGAGCTACTGATATTAATATTTTAACAAACCCCTCAGGAGATTCTTATGCACATTCCAGGTCCAGCTGCGCAGAATCTACTATCCTTGCATTTGCTTTGTTCTTGTCTTTAGTACTTTATTGAGGCATAATTTGCATACAGTAAAATTCAAAAATCTAAGTGCACAGTAAATGATGCTTTACATATGTATATAATCATGTAACCACCAAGCATAACAAGATAGAAAACATTCTCAGCACCTCAGAAGGTTCCCAGGTATCCCTCTCCAGTGAAATTTCTATTGACTTGTATTCTAAATTCACCAATCCTCCCTTCTACTGTGTCTAGTCTGCTCTTAAGCCCATGCAATGAATTCTTTAGTTTAGAAATTGTATTTCTCAGCTGCAGAATTTGTATTTAGTTCTTGTTTGCAGTCTCCATTTCTTTGCTGCTGACATTTCCCATATTTTTATTAATCTTGTCCATCTTTTCATATAATATCTATTATATCTATTACTTAAAATAATATTATTTATAATAGTAGCTTTAAATTTCTTGTCATATTTGACATCTGTGGATCTGTTTCTAATGACTTTTTTTCCTTAATTATGGCAGGCGTTTTCCTGCTTCTTCATAATTCTCTTCATTTGTGATTGTAGGTATCCATACAATGCATAAACAAAATGTGGTACATCCACACACAGAATATTATTCAGTCATAGGAAGAAATAAGCACTGATATGTGCTACAATATGAATGGACTCAGAAGACATGTTGTTAAATGAAAGAAGCCAGACACAAAAGGCCACACACTGTTTGATTCCATTTATATAAAATGTCCAAAATAGGCAAATTCATAGACAGAAAGATTAGTGGTTGCCAGGGCTTAGGTAAAGGGTGAATGGAAAGGGACTGTTCAAAGGATACAGGGTTTCTTTTTGGGGTGACGAAAATGTCCTGGAATTAAATAGTGACAGTTGCATCTCGTTGTGAATATACCAAAACCCATCCTATTGTACACTTTTAAATGGTTAAAATAGTAAATTTTATCTAATTTTAAAAATTAAAAAAAAAAGTCAGAACTACAGATATACATTTGAAAATCATCAATGTAAAAATAGTCATACTGGGAATGAGTACTCAGGTAGATGTGTAGAGAATTAAGAGAGGAACAAAAAGTAAAGCCTAGAAAACAACAAAATACTGGGTGTGTGTGTGTGAAATTACAATCAGGCTGTATCAAATATTCAACTGAAACAAAAACAAAAAGATCACCCAACTGATTATTTTTGAAGTCTTTCCTCCTCTTAATTTGAAACAAGTGAAAAGTAAAACTCTTCACAAATCAGAATAAACTTAGGTTCTGTATAAATGTCCCCAAACCTTCAATGATACAAATGGTACCTGTCAGTAACTGCCATGAAACTGAGCAGCAAGGTATTGAAAAGAGCAATGAGTTCTTTCTGGAGTTGCTGCCTAACAGCAGTCCGGATGTCATCTGCTTCCTCTCGTGTCTGTGACTCTGTCAGAACCAGCAGGTCTAATAGTGGGTTTGGACTCTAAAAAATGAAATTTGTGGAAAAAACACATTTACTCTCTGATTGAGTAACATGCTGTCTCCTATAAAGGTTTATTGTTGCTAATCTGCTCTGGATTAACTAAGAGTTATACTACCTAACTAGTCAGTGTGGGTCTCTACTGCATTAGTAGAGATGTTCTAAACTCAAAGGGTACTTCATATGTTATCTCAACAAAAGGAATGTAGATCTATTATGGAAAACTGAGGAAAACAGAGATAAGCACAATGAGAAAAACAAAAACCACCCATAAGCACACCTCCCAGAGATGGGCACTATTAGTATATGGGTACATACTCTTCTTTTTGTGTGTATGAGGATAAATACAAACAGAATTATTATTCTATATTTTTAACAAAACTGAGATCAAGTGAAAAAATCCACTATTATAATCATTCTTTTTTCTTAATATTATTAGCAGCATTTCTTCAAAAACATTATCTTAATATCTGATTGTTTTTTAACCACAGGAATTTACCAACTGCTGGGTAATCAATCAGTGATATCTAATTTCACTGAGCTGCAGCAGTATGCACTCAACTTGATTATATGCCATGTATAAATTCTAAGCAATGAAATTACTAAATCAAAACATTTAATAGTTTTAATACTTTATTGCCAAATTGCCCCTGCAAAAAGTGTACCAATACATACAACTAAGCAGGGTCTGAGAAGGGCCACAGCATCCAAGCCAATGCTGAATATTATGATTATTGTGATCTTTGCAGTTTGATAAGCTGATAAACAAATAAAACTAGTACTATTTAAATTTTTTCCTATATTCCAACTTTAAAAAAATTGTAGCTAAAGAAATGTTATAAGATTACTTCTAATAATATTGAGAGAGCAGAAAATGTTACATTAACCAACAGCATTAAAGATATATGGAATATTTATTAATCATCTATAACATCACAGGCACTGCATTAAAAAGTGAAAGAAAACAAGATTTCACTTAACTTTTTGATTAAACTAGAAGATCTGCATTTTCATATCTTACAGATGGGCAAATGGAGGTTTACAAAGAGGTTAAGTAACGTGTTCAATGTCACACGGATGAGCAGAGCAAGGACTCAACCTCAGAACCGTCTTACCTCAAAGCTAGTTAATATTTCATCCCCAGCATTATGTCATGTCAATAGCATGTATTACAACAGACAAAAAGAGATAAAATCAAAATGTAATTACTGTCGTCATGAAATTCTTCACCTAAAGAACTCAATTCAAAAATGACTGCATTCTTTTTTGGGAAAAGAAATGGAAAAAACTGGAAGAAAATTCCAAGTTGTTTATACTATGTGGTATGTGGAGTACACTTCAGTCAGGTACATAGGCTTATAAATAATATAACTGAGAGCTTTGGGAAAGTGTTGGGGAGAGATGTTTACTTTACTATGTTTCACACCTATGCAGCATTTCTTTTCAGCTTTTCCTTTCATCTTGAACAAGAAGTGCTTCATTTGGATCAAGTAAAATTACATAAAACATAACTACAGGTTCTATGTTTCATACATGAATAAAACAATCAAGACACACATTTAATAAAATCATAAAAATAAATACATATTCTATAGTATTCTTAGCCCCAAGTAACCAAAGACTTACACCCACCACTCCCTCCAACCCCCATAAATACTGACAAAATGAACAAGCTTTTTTAATGCAAACTCCATCTTGGTAAAATATAATTTTACTATCAGGAACTATTAATTCTGATATACAGATAAAAATTAAGTAGAAGCTACTGATTAATATATGAATATATTGATACAGCATGTAGATACCTAACATTAAGATTCTTCCAAAGAATCTCATCCTGTTAATAACTCATTTCTGCTTGTAAATTGCTGAGACTTTTTCCTTTTAGAACATATCTTAGATTTACATGTTAACATTAAGATTCAGTGAACCTCAACAACAACAGTTCTAAAAGATGGGATGAACTGCCATTCCTCAAGTGTAATAGAGAACAGAAGAGATGTCTCTACTGATGCTTGTTGACCTCAAGTGCTCAATCATACCTGAAGGTTTTGTCTTTAGACATTAGTATTCAATCCTAATTTTAAGTCAACTCCACGGGCCATTATTTTGTCACTGCTGACCTTCAAAAGGCAAAATTTCTATAATGATGGTTTGTTTTCTTTACGCACACAGTTACCACTCATATCCAATTTTCCGTCCATCAGCAACCTACAACAGTAGGATGTACAATGCCCTCCATGAACTCTAAGTGCACATGTGCCTGCGAAAGTCGGAGAACAGAAGAGTGTATGTTGTGTAGTTCTAAATAGCTTCTCCCTCCCAAAAAATGATGGCCCTACTTTTACGATCTTCCATCAAAAAATTCATTCTGAAAACAAAGGTACTCAAACTCAGCACTTCTAGGTTGTTTCAGATATTAACAAAATATCATTACGTTAAAATATAGATTGGTGATATAATAAATTCCTAAAGTGCCTAAGAATTAAAATGTTTGTAATAAATGAATGTTTTGATAAAACACACAGACAAATTTTCACAAGAGAAAGTTCCTAAATCTTCCCTCAGTAAGTTAGCTGATTTTTTTACACTTCCTATTAGCGTTCTTCTGCCTAAGCAGGTATCACATCTGCCTAATTTTGTTTGTTTCTGCCACTATCACTTTTACACGTCTTTTCATGTTACATCCATACATTCAAAACAATTCCTTTGGAAATGCTATTTTACTGACCTTCTTAAATCCTTTCTCACTTATTTTACCCACTTCAAATGATAAACTTTAAAGGGTACTTGATTTTCTATTTTCAGGCTTCCTTTATTTTGAACATTGGTCAGTTCATAACACTTAATAATTTAATCCTTGTAGCATGATATTTAGAGAGGAAACCCTCCTGTTCATGGATGCTTAAGTCCACTTTGCTCACCCTTAAAAGTATTATTATTTATAACACTAGTGACGATAATAAACGAGGAGATAAAGTAAAAGTTTTCCAAAGACAGCCTTGATACCATGCAAAGTCAAATAAATTTAACTATACCAAACATCCTTTTCTAAAAGTACATTAAAATTACAGTACAACCTTCTAGAATCTTGTAGAAATTTCATCTTAATTTCAAAACTATGAATAAGTTATACAATATACGTCAGCATTCACGACACACTACAAAATTCATAATCATTTAAATGTAAAATTTTAACTATCTAGTTACAGTTACATAATTTAGACAAACATATTTTAACATGCACAGTGATTTCCTATTGTTATATACTATATAAAAAGTCTTATATGCAAACGTTCAATTATTGCATAGATTTCAGGAAAAGATTCTAAAACTGAATAAAGCCCTCTACATCTGCTATTTTCACAACCCAAAGCAACCATTATCTCCAGAACACAAGAACTCTAACCTAAGAAGGAGACTGTTTTAGAGCTTATTCTTTTTCAAAAATGAGTAAAAAAGATTATGAAGTTATAAAAAATGTATAGATCAAAAATCGATTTGAGCTATTGAAAAATTCACTCAGAGGAAAAGCTTCATAGAGATTCTTTTAATATTTTAATATCCAATCTTTAAAATATTTAAACATGTTTAAAAGCTGAAAGAATTATAATGATGTTAGCTTTTTACTGTTTTGCTTTGTTAAAAATGTTCAGAAAATAACTGTCTCCAAACACTTCTTTAATTTTTTAATAATTAAAAGATGAGAAAATCAAACTAAATATGGTACTTTGAAATCATCCTTGAGAAAATAACAGAAGGGCAAACTTTACTGAACAATGAATCTATGTACTTGGGAAGTTCAATCATCTTATAAAAGATCCAAAAAATTTACTTTAAGGAAATTAAGTCTTTGCATCTCATTTGTTATATTTTTCTCAGTTTATCATGTTTTTAACTATGCTTAAGGTATTTCTTGCCATACATACAGAAGCCAATAAAATTTACACATAAATGTCCTTCCACTGGACAACTGTTCTATCATAAATTTCAAAAAACAAAAACAAAGTTAACCTGAAAGAAGTAAAAGTGACCAGAAAAGAATACAGAAAATAAAGTTCATTAAGGAAAAATTTTTTAAAATAATTTAATGTAGTCCTTCAGGGGCTGGCCCTTAGAGTAGTGGTTGGGTTTAGCGTGCTCCACTTTGGCAGCCCAGGTTCGCTGGCTCAGATCCCGGGTGTGGACCTACACCACTCGTTGGCGGCCATGCTGTGCTGGCAACCCACATACAAAATGGAGGAGGATTGGCACAGATGTTAGCTCAGGGCTAATCTTCCTCAAGTGAAAAAAAAAAAAAAGAGGAAGACTGGCAACAGATGTTACCTCAGAGCGAATCTTCCTCACGAACAAAAAAAAAAATGTAGTCCTTCAAAAAATATAGGCATATCAAAGGAAAACACTACAAGTCCAATCAAAGAGTCAAGTACATACAGGGAGCCAGCTCATGATTTTTAAAACCTGGTGTCAATTCAAATCAGGGGTAGATACATGATATAGGAAAACTGCTAACCATTCAAAAAAATAATCTACATCAAAAGAAATTCTAGATGAATAAAGATGTAAAAAATAAAACCTTAAAAGTTACAAAAGAAAACATGAAAGTGTTCACTCAAAACTTTGTAGTAGAGAAGATCTTTCCAAAAAGATACATAATTTATAATCTATAAAGAAAGAAATCTATAAATATGACTACCTAAAAATAATACGGCAGTGAATAAAACAAACAACCTGTCCTCATGCAGTCCGTACTCTAGTGGGGTGGAGCGGCATGAGGCAGACAGAAAAGGAACACAGATACTCCACAGGCGGGAGTGATTAGTGCAATGAAGAAATATGCACTGGGACAAGAAGGCAGAGGCAGGCATGGAGGGATGCCACACTAGATACAACGGTCAGAGAATGCTCCTCTGATGAAAAGAGCACTGAGTAAGTGTCGTGGTCAGTCATACACATCCAGGGGAAGAGCGTTCCAGGCAGAGAGAAAAGGAAATGCAAAGGCACTAAAGTAGTTGTGAGTGCCACATCTGAAAAACAACCAGTGGCCAATGTGGCTGGAACAAAACAAGAGTACAGCAGAGAGATATTCCGAATCAAGTTCCATTAGAGCCCTGTCGGCTGCAAGCCTAATCTGAATGAGAGAGCAAGCCAGTGGAGGACTCTAAGCAAAAGAGTGACATGATATGACTTAAGCTTAAGAAGATCACTGTAGCATTGTCCTAAGAACCACAACCACACGGAAGGCCTACAATAACCCAGGGGAGGGGTAGTTTTTCACACACACACACCCCTGTAAGTCTATGACTAAATGTGGAAATTATAATCATGGAACACAATTTAAATATTGTAAAAGATGAAAAGTAGAAATAACTAACAAAAGCTAGGAGATGAAAGGGGTAGATAAGACAGGAAAATAAGATAATTAAGTCCAAAATACCATAAGAATGGTCAGAAGGCAAATGACAAACAAGAAAAAAACATTTGCAACTCTTATCACAGATAAAGGGCTAATCTCCCTAATTTATGAAAAGCTCCTCTGTTACCAAAAAAAAAAACAAAGAGTAAGAGAAGACTAACTACCCAACTGTGGAGCACAACTAGCAAGGGCATCAAGGGACAGTTCACAGAAAAGGAAACAAAAGACCCCCAAACATGAAAAGATCATCTCACTCAAAGTAATAATTATCTACTCACAAAAAACGAAAACAAAAAAATCTCAATACAAATACATATACACACGTATCTTTGCGATGTGTAATTGACTTAGCAATTACGGTTCTAGGAATTTAGTATATAAGTATACTTGAATATGTAACATGGTCCATAGCTTCCATTTTTGTTACAAGTTTTGAAATTTTAACAAGTTATGAAATTAAGGTTATGTGTTTTCTTGTAATTAATGACATAACTTTCTTAATGTCATAAGTTTACTATTGAGTTACTAAATGTTTACTGAGAGCTCACTATGTGCAAGGCTCCATTGTAGATGCTGGGTATGCAACTGTGAACAAAACAGTCCTGATTTTCACCAATCTACAATAAGGCAGAAGGTAATAAACATCTAATCAAGTTTTATACTCACACAAATATTCATATACACAATATACAGATTTTTTAAATCTATAAACACTTTAAAAAGTATTCTCAATTAGAATTTCTAACTTACACCATATGGGCACTTTGTATTTTTATAGAGAATCATGTTTTTAAATAAGCCTTTCAAATGTATTAACATATAATGGAACATATTTGTTTTATAAGGTCTTCTATCTACTATATCAGTTTAGGCCCTCTTTTCTAATTTTTATGTTTTTCTTCATGATTATTTGTGCAAAGGTTTATCTTTCCTAGGTTAAGTAAATTCATATAGTATTTTCAAAAGAAATACATAGATAGACCAACAATAGATAGTGAGCTAACTTGGGTTCTCGGCAAGTTCTCAGAACACAGTCAGCCAAAAAAGTTGGTGGAGGTTGGAAGGGTGATTACCACAGTAAACTTACAATGAAGCTTGAGCACTGTTTGACTCATTCTTTCCAGTCTCACCATCACTGTACCCCTCACTGCCTCCATCTGCCTTTGCTCCCTGCCTCTCCACATTCCTATTTGCACTCCCCCTGCTCCAAGATCCCCACTTAAAAATACAGTTGCAGCAAAGAGCTCACATATAGAACAGGTTTAGTCAAACACCAAGAATGAAGGTGCCATTCATAGTGTGGACCTTTAACTTAATAAGCACAGTCACAATCATATTAGGAAGGCCATGTTACTATGAGCCATCCACTAAAACATGAAGACTACTTTACTAAGCATAGGCTATATAAAAATTACACTTTTCCATAATACAGTATTAATGATTTTTACAAATAAATCACTTATCAAACCTGAAACTCAAATTCCTTAACAACACTTACATGTCTAAGGAGTAATTCTAGAAGCCAGTTTAGAAGTTCTACTGATGAATTTTTCCTTTGTTCCTTCAATAACTTATTTAAAAAATGTATGATATCTATTAGCAGTTTCTCATCTTCAGTGCAAGCAGGAAGCACTTGTAAAAATCTACAATAAAGAAGATGACAATCATGGTTTCAGCTCTTTAAAGTGGTGTGCTGATAAATATTTAACAACCGGCTGAGGAGTGAGGAGCTGATTTGTTGTGGTTCCCAATTTCCAAGGTGTAAATACCCTCCATGGCCAAGTGCAAGCCACCAACAAAACACACAGCTGTGGAGAGATGCAAGTAGCACACCATTATATATAGCATTTCCACAAGATATAATAGATATAAATAACCTAAAGGGCACAGATAACAGTAAAATGTTGTAAAATAATTAGGAAGTGATGAGTTTTGCATAATCATTACCTTTATTTTTCATATGATTTGTTTAACTGTAAGTTTGTGTAATTTAATTTGTAAGAATGGCTGTGTTTAACAACTAACTTGCAAAAATCCTGAAGATTTCACTATCAGCTCTCTCACAAGGCAGTACTGGCTGGCTCTAGCACACCACTGGAAAAGCTGAATTAGATAGCTGAATTGTGAGAACTGCACTAAATAATGGAGTTCACATTTTGGAAACTCATTTAACCTCTCATTTTGAAAATTGCACACTTTATGTTTAATAGAAAGTTAGACATTTTGTACTAAAGTCCCATGAAGACTAAAATATAGAACTCCTGGCAATGGCTGCTTATCAGTCTTATTTGTTTCAAATGCAGCCATCTGCTACCAGTTAAAGTGTTAAATTTACAAGCTAGAGCCTCCCAATAACTACTAAAGGACATCTACATGGCAACCAACTTCATGAAATTCAGAGTAAAAAGAAAAATAAGATAATTTACTTAAGAACAAAACCAAAGCAAAACAAAATAAAACAGCATGCTGCAGGTGTAGCAAAGCTATTAATCAATCCACTGAGGTCTTGGCTCATTTATAATATGGACAAGAAGAAACATTCAGTTTGTTCATCCATGTCATATCTCAATCATTTACTTTTGCGAGGTAACAAAATTTTCAATGATAGGATATTAAAAAATTATGTTTATTAATAATTCCAAAATGCAGTAATTAAGTTAAAAGTTCCTCTTTTGCTATTACTAGATATTCATAAGAGATAATAAAAATTCTGGAGTTTTTCCTTCTAAAAAAACATTTCTCTCATGATAGCAACAATAAGAACACATGCTCTTTTATTTTCAAAGGTGTGGAGGTGAATCCAAATACAATTTAATCCAGGTCTTTGAAACTGGTGGCCTTGAGCTTACACTGACCTGTTTAGTGCTGTGTGCCAAGCCAAGGCCTTCAAGGTAACCCCACACGGGCCAGCGCCACCCTTTAAAGACAACCTGTCGTTCAGAAGGTAAAAGCTCATCCTCGTGACAGCGGCCCTCACGTCCCTGTGGGCTGCAGCCTGAACGATGGAATGGAGACAGTCCCTCAGCCCACTCGCCGTGTGTGTCACCTTCAGAGTAAGGGTGTCCTCGGGAGATAACTGCAATGTACCTGAAAACCTAAACAAAAAGGAAATAAGGAAGAGCAACACAACTATTTAAATACAAGCTCACATCTACTTTTATCATAAACTCTCTCCTAAAATTTGTTCTATCTTTGTTTTCTTTTAATTAAAGGTTGACTCACAGCCAAAAGAAACTCCGGAGTAAACCTATCAAGATTAGGGTTTTACACTAGCATCTTCAGTGTTTATATTGACATTTTCCTGCTTACAGAAATATAATTTTCGTTCAAATAAGAAAATACTGACAGATTAAAATATTAAGATTTTCAAAAGTCATCATCACCATCATCACAGTAATGACCAGAACATCCACACATACACTCACCGAGCTTCACTTCAACCCAGAGCACTTGTCCTAGTGATTTACATCTATTAACCCACCAAACTTCATGTAATCGCTCAAACAGCATAGAGCACAATGCTTTTTAATTTAAATTTCCTTGTGTGATAGTTAAAAGTAATGAACACACGTAATCTTTAAAACAAAGTAAAAATTATACTGTTCAATGAAAAAGTAGAATCAGATGATAATAAGTAAAAGCTACCTGACCTAAAGGAAAAATAAAACCTAACTAATTCATTATAATTAGTTAACTGTGAATGATTTTCAACTAAATGTAACAACTTACTCTTGGATTTTAGTTTCAGAGTTCATTTCCTTCAACAGATTGTCACTCCCATGATACCAGGACAGGTTCCAAGCTACTCGCAGCATATCTGAGACGGGCTTCAGGGCCAAACAATCAGCAGATAAGGGCAGAACTATGGAGTAAGGACTCACAGCATGGTGGCCAAGTACGTGTACTGGTAGATGATACCTAAAGAAAGGGTACACAATTACAAACTTTTAAAGTCTTAACCGCCACTCGAAAGGATGAGCCACAAATAAGGACTAGTTCTACGCCTTTCATTCCACTGTAAGACAAAGAGCTCTCTCATAGCTCCTATTTTCAACAGTTATCATGCTTTACATATTATTCCAATTATTCTTTTGTCATCCTCTCAACTCCCAAAAACACTTTATTAAACTCTTTCCTGAAGACTTATCACACTCTATGTTGTATTAGAGTTGTTTGCAGAGATAACTAATGCCCCTTGAAGTCAAGACCTGTGGCTACAATGAACCACACATAAAAGGTGTTCAACTAAACCATGAATGCCTGCTTTATGCCAGAGACTGTATGTTATCTATCATTCATTCACAGTTACAAGGTATGGCACTATGATACCCCTTTTACAGATGATCAAAATGAGTCTTAAAGAGGCTAAATGTATTGTCTATATTCACAGGGGTCACTACGTGACAGAATCACAACTTATTATTTTGTGAGAACACAGTTGCAACATCAATAAACTCAATCATTATGTGTCACCAAGAGAACCCAGAGATACTTTTCCATCTATGAACAGATTCAATAGCAGTATCTCTTAAACCAAAGTTAATTTAACAGTGTTTAAGAAGACAACCACGCCCAGCAAGTTCAAAGGTTAAAGAATAATTTTACTAATAAAACATATCCCACACCCCTAATTCATGAATTTGTGACTAATATTAGACAAATACAATCAGGTATTATTTCTAAGGGGACCTTTAGTGTTTTTCACGTCATGCATCTCAATGAAAGAGGCTAAGGTAGAGTTCTATACACAAATCAGGCTGAATAATTTAAGTAACGATAATACTTTTTAAACACGGGAATTTTCCACAGAAGTAACCAGGGCTCCTTAGAGAAACGGCTAATGCTAGGTCCAAGACAGGGAAATCAAAGGTGAACCCTGGACATCTGCTTGTGCCAGAAAGCAAGACAATACTAAAAGACTCACGGAGCCACATCAAAAGGACACAGAAGCCTACTGGAAAGGACTTGCACAAAATGAAAAAAGGTATGGCTATCAATCAATGGTCAATCCTTAAAAAGTTAGAAAATGAACTGCAAATTAAGCCTAAAAAACATAGAAGGAAGGAAATAAAAATCCAAGGGTAATACATCATGACTAGTCTGAGAAACCACTACATATCCACCAGATGAGAAACAACTTTTAAAATGACAACGTTACTGTGAGTAAAGCAGTAAGAAAATCTGTTCTTCTCTGTCTATGGACAAATGCGATCTTGAGGTAACTTTCTGGCTCTTTTCCTCAGGACAGCCAAATAGATATGGAGTGTCAGCAATTTCACTAAGCTGCTTTGCTTATGGTGAAAATGATCCCTGCATCTGGACTGGGAGGTGTGGGAATAAACTGTCAATGCATAATGGGAAGCCACAGCTCTGAGCATCCGAGTGCTTTGCTCTTGTAAGTGACGTGCCTGGAGGGGCCTTGGAAACTATGTCTACGGCACACTTACTAGAGACCATATTTTCTATTGGGACACAGGGCTTCTAAGCTAAGACAGCTCCCAGAACCCACACCTGTAATCTCATTCCAAGTACGGCCTACCATAGTTGTGTGAGCTTTATTGTTTAGCCAAACCTAAAGACCATGAGGAGTGGGTGATATCTACAACTAAGGAATTTCACTCCTAAGAATATATCCAAGAGCAACTCTTGCACACATATACCAGGAAACATACAATAACATTTACAGGTGTATATACAAGAGAAAAAACCCAAAATCAAGCCAAATACCTTTTGACAGGAGAATGAATCAACTGCAATACAGTCTAACAGCAGAATATTATATAGCAGTGAAAATGATTATACTGCATATAATAATATCTACCAAGCTATGAAATGTTCTTTTTAAATCAATGTTTTATTAAGATATAATTTACTTACCTTAAAAATACACAGATTTTAAGTGAATAGCCTGATAAATTTTTACATATGTATTCATTTGTGTAACCACCACCCAGAATAAAATACAGAACATTTCCATCCCAATGGAAAGTTTCTTTGTTCTCTTTTCTTGTCAATTACTCTCCTTGCCCTCCTCCAAGAGATAACTACTATTCTGACTTCTCTCACCATAGATCAATTTTATCTGTTGATGAACTTTAAATGAATGGAATCTACAGTATATACTCTCTTGTGCCTTATTTCAGTCAACTTTATGTCTATGAGACTCATGTTGTTGTGTGAAGACTAGTTTTTAAATGCTGTGTAGTGTTTCACTGTATGAATATGGCATACTTCATTTATTAGTTCTCCCTGTTGTTGGACATTTGGGATATTTCTAGCTTTTGCCCACTATACACAAAACTGTTATGAATATGCTTATACAAAAAAAAAGAAAGAAAGAAAAGAGTGGGTGACGCAAATACCAAGGGCTGGTGAGAGTGTGGAGTAGCCGGTACTCTTAGACTGCTGCTGGGAATGCAAACTGGTACAACCACTTTGGAATAGTGTTTGGTAGCATCTACTAAAGCTAAACATATAAATATCCTCTGACCCATATGTGTTCAAGAATGTTCTGGCAGTCACTTATTCAGAATAGCCCCAAACAGGAAACTAACCAAGTGTCCGTCAATGATAGAATGGTAAATACACTGCTGTATATTCTCACATGGAATACTACATAGCAATGAAAATGAACCAACTACTGCTTCATGTGATGACATGGACAAATCTCTCCAAGTTGAGCAAAAGAAGTCACATACAAGAATACACTCTATTTATAAAGTTCAAAAACCAGCAAAAATAATGTGTTGTAATAGAAATTAAAATAAAATTACCTTTGTGGGGTGGTAGAAGGTAATGAGGAAGCATGAAAGGGGTTTCTGGCATGCTAGTAATAATATTCTGTATCTTAATCTGCTTGTTAGTTACATGGGTGTGTTAATGTGGAAAAAATCATTGACTAGACTCTTATGATTTGCATATCTTATGTATGCAAAGAGACATGAAAACCAATGCAATTCACGACCTTGATTGGATCCCACATTTTAAAAAAAATCCATAAAAGATATTTTGGGTATAACTAGAGAAATCAAATCATACTACAGAATTATTTTTAATTTTCTTAGATATGATCATGCATGGTACAGTGGTTATGTAGGAGAATGTCCTTAATTTAAGGAAGTATATGCTGGAATAATTAGGAGGGAAATAAAATTATGTCTGAAATTTATTTTCAAATGAGTCAGGGGAAAAAATTACATATAAATAAATAAATATATTGAGAGAGAGAGAAAGAGAAAGCAAATAGACTCCTGCGTTACCAAGTGCTGAATCTAGGCTGAAGGGTATGCAGTGTTCACTGTATAGTTCTTTCAACTTTTCTGTAGACTTGAACAATATCAGACTAAAAACTTGTGGGGACATACACTTACTGAACTCTCCAAAACACCACGTGAAGGAAACATTAAAAAACTAAAAGTCATGTGCCTTAAACGCTAGAAGAAAACTGTGACAAATTATAGATTTTGATTTCTCTTTCTGTTACAATATTTTACCTTCAAGAAAATCAACGAAATAAATCCTTTACCTTCTAAAAACTGAAACAGGCAAACTGAAGACTGATGGTGAAGAAGGTTTATTGGAAGGATTAACAGACCTATTTCATAAAAGAAAAACAAAGAAAAGAAACAACTGAGTAGACCATAGTTCTAACAAATACAACTTGCTTCACTTCCTTGACTAAAACCCAAATCAAGAAGTGCAATTGGTTCTATCATTTCCCACAGTGTGAACATATTTGCTACTACCTGGATTTGCTTATGAAGAGAAAATCATGCCTTTCTTTAGGAAGTCCACATAATTAACGATTAATACAATGGGGGCACTGTACTGGCAGGTGGCTCTGTGTCCCCCTCCTACCGATCCTGCTCAAAGTGAGTGTTAATCACATACTATCATCCTAAACATCTTTCCAAAGGTTTTTTCTTAATAAAATATTAAAGAAAAAACACAAAATTGAGAGTGTGTACTAAAAAAATGTATTAATGACAAATTACTGCAGTAATTTTTAAATTTTGCACCTAGTAATTTCAAAAATAAAAGTTCACGGTGACTTTTCGAGTCACTAGGCTTTTTAATACTGCTTACTCAAACAAAAAAATCATACTACGCATATCTACCACAGAAAGCATAAGCTTCTTAAGTCAGAAATTTCTATGCATTGCTATAAGATTGCACCAGAAACCTGAGATAAACAATTAAGAGTAAAACACTTTTAAAATTCTTATAGCTCACCACATATCCATTCTTGATACTTCATCAAATAATAGAAGACAAAATAATGCTCCAACTTCAGTCACGACTGTACAATCTTCATGAAATATCAAGGAAACTGAGAAATAAAAAGCATAACTATGAAATATTTTTACCTCTAGAAAAAATGAACTTCAAATTTAAAATATCTTAACTCAAAGAGAAGAGATGCTATTCTCAGAGAAGTGCTACGTTAACCCAAATAAATTGACATCATTAAAACGTGGCTCTCAAACATTCAAATGTACACGCATCATCTGGAAGGCTTCTTACAACACAGAGCTTCTAATTTGGTAGCTTTAGGGTAGAGCCTGTGAATCCCTGAGGACACAGATACTGCTGGTCCAGGAACCACACCTGCAGATCCACTCACTAAATACTGTCTAGTTTTAGTTAATCAAAGAAGCAAACTGATCCAGCTTCTAAGAAGGTTTTGCCAAGTCATTTAACTCTAGCTAAAGTTTGCTCACTGAAGGTCTCTTTATTTGATAATTTCTGCCCTTTCCTGTAAACATACAATCATAGAACTTGGATTTGACTTTAAAACATGGTGTTTGTGCTGGTGTTATGTTTCGGTTTGTGTACCTTGTTTATTACAGCAAGATAACAGAAAAGGAAAGTGCTCTGAACCACTTACCATTTCGCTAAGTGGCCTGGCCAAATCCCCTAACATTAATAAGCCTCAGTTTTCACCTCCATAATGCGCCCAATGCTACAATTTCTCAATGCTTGAAACCTATGAAATTCTAACCAAACAGGTATGATGGTTGTACCAATCAGGCAGGAATAACAACATAATACAGAGTTAGCAAATCCAGGGAGGCAGCAACAAGAAATTAGTTTTGAAAGACATTTTTCCTAATTGTAAGAAAAGGAGAAAATGGTATGATTAAAAATAGCAATGAACTAAAAGGTAAAGAAACTGAGATATATGTAAGAATTTAATTTATGATAAAGTAGACATTTCATATCAGTAAAGATAGAATGAGCCATAATATTTCCTAATACATAAGAAATTGTTGCAATATAATTGCCTACAATATGGAAAAAAATAGACTTAGATCCTGACCTTACATTATAAACCAAAATTAATTCTAGATAGATTAAAGATCTAAACTTTATAAACAACACTACAAGCATATTAGGAAAAGTACAGGAGCATATTGGGAATTTGGAATCAGAGGAGGCCCTCCTTTTAGAGCATGACGAAAATCCCAGTTGCTGTGACAGAAAAGCTTTATATATTTCCATAAAATATTTAAGGTTAAAGATATAATAATAAATACATTAAAAAGGACAGAAAGGTTGGAAGAAAATCTTAATATAAAATCAGGCAAAAAGTTTACATTTTTGTTATATAAAGAAATTCTACAAGTCACTAAAAAGAAATTAACAGAAAACTAGGCAAGTCACAGAATAAGAAATTTGAATATGTAATACATGAAAAGAGAATCAACTGCACTAAAAATAAAAGAAATAGAAAATAATAATGAGACATTCACTGATAAGATTAAAGAAATTTTAAAAATGAGACAGATTCAGTGTTAGCAAAGTTGTGAGGAAAATAAGCAATTTTAAACACCATTGGTGGGAATGATTTGGAGGGCAACCTAACCATATCCTGTTAAATTTCTTTGACCCAGCAATTCCAATTATAGTGTTTGCATAAGATGATCATACAACATGATTACTGTCATAGTTAAAAATTCATTTATTATATATTTATTTATAATTATTAATATTAATAATTTAATAATTAATATTATTATATAATTTGTTAATTATTAATTTATATTGACATGGCAAACTGAAATTCAGAAACACTATACAGTAGTTTTTTGGTTTTGTGTTTTTAAGAAGGTAGACTCTTATGTAATAACAGAAAGATATTCAAGATATATTTTCAGTGGAAAAAAAGGAAGGAGCACAATACTGAAGTAGACCGTATCAAAAATGCAATATGTGTGTATGGAAAAGATCATTCCAGATGATAGACACCAAATAATACCCAGTACATTCTTCTTGGAGGAAATTGAGAAGAGAAGAAAAAATAAAGAAAAAACTCTTAGAATTTTACTTTGTACAGTTTAACATAGTTTGAATTTTTAGTATAAGGATGGGTAAGTTCTGTAATTATTTAAAACAGAAACAGCAACAAAAGTAAGGAAGTCCGGGTTCTTCTCCTGACTCCACCATTATCTGGTTATGACATGGCCAAGTTGCTAAATCTCTCTAGACCTCAATTCCCTCACTATAAAATGGTATAATAAATGATTTCCAAGTTAATTTCTACCCCTAAAATATGGGGTAGGATTCTGTCATGACGTAAAGTTTATAATTCAAAGCAGTGTGTCTGAAAGATTATTTAATTATTGTATCCCTTCTATCTAATCTACATGTGGACAGAATGATCTTCCTAAAACACATACTCCTCTGTTTAACAACCTTCAATGGCTTCTCACTACTGTTCACCAGGACACACCAGGCCCTGCGGGAACTTCTCTGCCTCATCCCATCATTTTCCCTCACTCCAGACCCTACCACCCCCTGCCCCAAAATCCAGCCATCCCTAACCAACCACCATCTCAAACACACCATTCTCTCTCACACACAAAACCTCGGCTCCCTCTATCTGCAAATCAACCCTCTGTATATGAACTCCTACTCATTTCTGAAATTCCAGTTTAGATCCACATTTTCTGGAAGCATTCTCTGATGTTTTTCCACCACTCGATCTACTCAGGAGCACCTCCTCTGGCACCAAGAATCCCATTATTATAGGTATTATTATGCTGTATTATGTATTTATTTGTCACAACCTCCAACTATATTGTAAGCTCTGTGAGGGTCATTTCCCAAACTCATCAAGATATCCCAAGGCCCTAGCGCTATACCTGGCACATATTATGTCCTCAGTAAATGTTTGCTGAGGAATGATTTTTCCTGGTTGAGTGCCTAGCTAAAAAACTAATTTTGCCCTAAAACTAAATCCATTAATGAGAGATATTGTAATTCATTTTCAGACTCACTGAAGTAACTTTCACAAACATCAATAAGATAGAAAAATTATTAAATACCAATGGGTACAGATTATGTACTTTATGTACAGATTATTGCCTTAAAAAGTGCCTCTGAATCTAGTAGGTGCTAAAATTAGTTGAATGCTTGAAGAATTTAAATCAAAATTATAAATTAAAAGGTAACCTAGGGACTAAATTCTACTGAATTAGGTTAATAGGAAGATAATTATTAACAGGATTAAAGAAAATTAGAGATCCATAACTACTACTCTTCCAGATTAATCTATAAAAAATTATAAAATTTTACACTGTATTCAAAATTTTATGATCCTGAATATACTGTCTGTTTAGAACTTTACCTGGTTGGACCTTTACCAGTGCTACTTAAACTGTGTCCTATTCACTTGGCAAGCAGAAGCCATTAGAAGAAAAGAAAACACTAAAATAAAATGACTAAATTCTAATCTATATTCCAATAATATTTTGAACACAAATATTATTTATCTCCTACATGCCTGATAATTGACAAGGTTAAGCATATTGAGACATGTGATCAAGATGGAATATTTAAAAGCTGTGGCCTAAACTTCTAGGAAAGAAAATAGCACAAAATGTTACCAAGCTCTGTATTGAGAACAGTTAAGAGAGAAGAGAACAAAATTATATGGAATTTTTCTATCTAAACACACCACTAAATTACAACCAAACTGAAATGGGTTAAAAAAATCACACTTTATAAAATGTAACAAATCAATGCTCAGAGTCATTCAGGATGGTCTAGTTCCCAGTCCTCACAGATTGGGTCTATACTCTTAATGTCAGTGTAATGACATAATCAGATACCACACCACAGGTTCAGGACCTAAAGGCACAAGTCAAACAAGAATGAGAAAACAGATACCGGAAAGAAGGCAGTCATGACAGCAGCTGCAGCTTCCTCTCTTTCTAGGTAAGAGTTAACCGTCTCAGCACCAAACCAGAACTACATTAAGGTGCAAAGAAGAATCAGAGACTTCAGCCTTTCTCAGTAACAGGATTATGAGGAAATTTCCACTAAAGTATTAAACATTTTCCATTGCAATGGGTTTTTTTAGTGGCATATTCACTAACAAATTTTGTTATTCTGTTAGTAAAATGTAAAGTTAATATTACCCACAGTTAAAGAATAAACAGTTAAAGCTTAAGATTGATCTCATTATTATCAGAATTTATTTTATTCACCTCTGAACAACAGGGTCAAGAGAGAAGACTGCTGCGAGAGGGAAACACGCACGACTGGGTCAGCAGAAAGAACTTTCCTCAAGAGTGTGAGGCACGGCTGCATTAAACATTCTATACCCTGGCCAGGAGAGAGAAAACACAGTTATTCCATTTTCATCAATTCTAAGGTGAGATAAAATGTACTGTAATATTGTCTTATTCTAAATTCTATGCTTTTTCATTAAAATTATATGAAACTAAAATGCAAATAAATATTAAGAATTATTCTCTGGGCCAGCCCTGGTGGCCTAGTGGTTAAGTTTGGGCTCAGTTCCTGGGCTCGGACCTACATCACTCATCTGTCAGTGGCCATGCTGTGGCAGTGACCCACATACAAAAAGAGGAAGACTGGCAACAGATGTTAGCTCAGGGCAAATCTTCCTCAGCAGAAAAAAGAATTATTTTCCTCTGAAAATAAGCTTTGTATATACTTCTGCTTACACGTCTTACAGAAACTTTAAGATTAGTTTTCCTTTATAGAGACGTCACTTTTAGAAATAAAAAAATGAACAAGGTAGTGGGTGTTAACTCAGGATGGAAACTCCAAGTACTTATCCAAATTCAGCTGAATTCAGTTTCAGATCTAATTAATGAAAACAGCAATCTGTAAAAGTCTGTCTAGATACACATTAGTCTTACCTCACCGTCCTGACCCACACATTCATTTAAATACACAATTATCTTGTCAATTAAGCATAACTTTTTCACCACAGCATGCATTTTAATATCTGCAGACCAAAAAAGAAAGTTACTAAAAGTTAAATAACATTTTCTATAGTTTTAAAAATACAGAACAGATCTCCACACAACTTTCAAACTGTTAAAAATAGTTACACCTGATGTTGGAAATTAGAGGATGAAACTTCAAAATTTTTACTTTATACATATACATATCTGAACAATTTGAAAACTTTTAAGTAACAAGAACATCTTACTTCTGTAATGTAAAACAAAAACTATTTAAAAAAAATAAATGAATTAGTTCATACTCTGAAAAGTATTAGAATTTTAAGTATACAAATGAATCCTTTTATTTGTACATGGCAAATTATTTTCTTTATATTGTTTCATTGACAATTCTTCTCTTTTCCAAATCCATCACCTCAATGTTTAAAATTCTCCACAAGCGAATGTGTAAATATGGCTTACAACATGATCATTTTTCTATTAATAAAAGATCTAACCTCAAGCTATTAATAGCAAACATAAAGGGAAAGTGATTGCCGCATACTCTATATATTTCTGAAGAATATGAACTCTTTTTTAATAAGCATATACACGTACGTGTGTGTGTGTGTGTGTACACATTGCTATGGTCTGAATGTCCGTGTCCCCCAAAAACTCATATGGTGAAACCTAACCTGCAATGTCATGGTATCTGAAGGTGGGACCTTTGGGAGGTGATCAGGTCATGAGGGTGGAGCCCTCATGAATGCAATTAGTGCCCTCATAAAAGACATCCATCCCATAGAGCCCCCTCGCCCTCTCTTTCCACCACATGGGGACACAGGGAGAAGATGGCCATCTATGATCCAAGAAGGGGGCCCTCTCCAGACATTGAATCTGCCGGTGCCTTCATCTTGGACTTTCAGCCTTCAGAACCGTGAGAAATATATTTCCATTGTTTATAAGCCACCCAATCTAAGATATTCTATTATAGCAGCCCAAATAGACTAAGACATACACATACACACACACATATATATGAAGGATATTACTAGTGCCAAAAACTCCAGTTGCTTATAGATTAGTTACAAGTATTTTGCAACCTGCAGACAAATTTTTTTAATTTGCTCTCTTATATTCTCACTGAGAAAAAAATACAAATATACATACTGATACCGAATTAGTGGCTATCACTGTAATTATCCTTAGCTCTCACTTAAAAAAAAGTAGTTTCTACTATCCCCAATATAGGGCAAAATTATAAGCTGTATTTTTGAAATGTTAAAAACATTGAAAGAACACTGTCTAAAAGTTTTCCTTTTTTTTTTTGATCTTTTCAGCCAAGGCTCTCCAAATTTTCTAGAGCCTTATTTTCTATAGTCTGTATTATTGTTATTAAAACCACAAATATGCTGATTATGCTTCTTCAAATTACCCACTCATCCCAGTTTCCACTAATGTCAGGATAGGAATATTAACCATGCCCGATCTTCCAAGCTAGAAAAACCCTTTTTATGTAAGTGCAAAGTGATTTCTCTAAAATACTAAAGATAAATTACATACATCACATAGAGGGAAAAATTTAAAAATAACCCAAAGAATGGATGCCTATGGAATAACAGCATTACGAACAAAGCTAACAGTAAATTTTACTAGTTCTTTCTAAAAATAAACCTTTAAAGAAAATACATACAATGCATTACTTTTATTTTTACCTACCAACAAAGTACTGTTTGATTGATTTCTCTGAGCAAGATGGAACAAACTGAAAATATCATGTACTAGGTAAATTGAGGAAGGAACATGCAATTTACTGTTAGAATTATATCACTATTTCAGAAGGAAGATAATTCTATCAAATGATATTCTACAGGTCAAATAATGATAATCTAGATCAGGGATCAGCAAACGTTTTCTGTAAGAACTAGACAATAAATATGTTACGCTTTGCTGACCACATATGGTGCTTGTTGCATATTCTTTGTTTTGGCTTTTTTACAACTCTTTAAAAATGTAAAAACTATTTTTAACTCAAAGGCTATACAACAGCAGGCTGCAGGCCAGAGCTAGCCCACAAACCATAGTTTGCCAACCCCTAATGTTGCTGTACATGGCAATCTAAAATTCCATTATCAGCAGTACAGCAATCATTTTCCTTAAAAGACATTACCTTGCATAATCACAGCTAACTGCTCTGCGGCTGACTTTCTCAAAACAAGATCCATATCATCTGAGATAAAGATTTCATACACCTTTTCGACAGTCTCCACCTGAAAACCAAAAAAGAAAAAAATTTCATCTACTTCCAATTCTCCAGTAAAAGTTTATAGTTCACACAATAAGAACAAAAGCTCAAAAAGTCAACTTACTTCAGTAATTGAGATATTTACATGTAAATTTGCAACAATGATGTACTAGGTCAGCGAGGAACTTAGGATCTAAAACAAAGTGCCATCATGTCAAAGAAGCCTCTCTTCTTAATGTATATTTTTGTAGGAAGTCATTCATAACCCATCAGCCACCTCAAGAATTTCACAGAAAACATCCAAATCACATAACACCTCTGCAGGTAGACCCCGGCTAACCTGAGAAGAGTGACCCAACATGTGACTCAGGAGTTCTCTGGGGCTCCCAGAAGCCACAGAGGGAAGTCCCTTGGCCTTTCCCTTTCCTCCCTCTTAGAGACCACAGGGCAGACAGCCCTCTGGGACTTGCTGTCCAGCATTCCAATGAAGCCACCCCAACACCGGGCCCTGACTCACACTTCATGCCAGGACTGAGTCTGAGGGGGCAAAACACAACGGAAAAGGGGAGAGAAAAACAACGAAGATGACACTCCTCCTTTCTCCCACCCACTGCTCTCTGCTACCCTACCATGGACTCACATAGAACCCCCACTCCCTGCCTTCCTCCATACCACACACAGGGCACAGGAGTGACTACCAGTGGCTTAGTACTCAGGAAGTCCCCAACAGGACCTGGTATGCGGCTGGCAGAAGATTCTCCAATTCTCCTGCCAGGGCTGTGACATGGCCCCAAACACCTAGGCTAGAAGAACACTGAATGTGTTTCCTCATTAAAAAAATCCACTGTATTACATGTGGCTCTACAGTACTACCACAGGCTTTGGGGGCGGGTCTACACTTCAATACAAACTGAGAGACTGCACACCTGAAGACACAGGAGAAGCTAAAGAACACAGGAATGAACCAATAAAGACAACAGACAGCTTTCTTTATCTAACCCTGCATCAGTCCAGGAAGATCTGGGTACAGTCCTGGACAAAGACAAGGAAATGGATGCTACACTTCTGAAGGTATGTAAGGAGCCAAAGACTTAGAAAAGACAAAATCTCAGAACCACTACAACATTTAAGAGAAACTGCCTTTTCCTCCTATATTATTATTTTTTCCCTCTTGTAATGAAGAAGCTGAAAACTTTTGTCATAGGAACTTTTCTTTTTTGCTATTATAGGCAATTTCCAACATAAGAACAAGAATTCTCAACAGTTTTTATGTCAGTGATATTTGTTTTTAAGAGTCATCACAGCATTTCTTTCTACTAGATTAGCCTTATGTTGTATTTAAGATACAATTCAAATTAATTTGCATTTCCAGTGTATATACTAACTGAAAAGGGACATAATGCCTGACATATAGAAGGCACTCAAGAAACATGTGTTCAATAAGTAAATGTACCCAGAAGCCAGATAAAGCCAGAACACAATTTTAAATCAGCCAGGAACTACCATACTTGAAGGTTCCACTTCTCGCCCTTTCTGGTGCATGACACAAACTGAAGAATGTAACATAAAATACCTGATACACAAATGTATCAAATAACCACACAGTAATAAACTCAAAAGTTCTAGTGGGCTGGCCCTGTGGCTTAGCGGTTAAATGCGCGCGCTCCGCTGCTGGCGGCCCGGGTTCGGATCCCAGGCGCGCACCGACGCACTGCTTCTCCGGCCATGCTGAGGCGGCGTCCCACATACAGCAACTAGAAGTATGTGCAGCCATGACATACAACTATCTACTGGGGCTTTGGGGGGGGAAAAAAAGTTATAGTCACCTTAATAATCAGTTCTCTTCTGTCATCCAGTTTGAGTTCAATAGGTTTTTTCACAATAAACAAGTTAGTAACTCTGGAGAGAACTCTGGCATCTATTGAAGGGCGCTTTGTATCAGCCCCTTCTTCCCGTGTAAGATGACATGCTAACAGCTTTAACGCCAGCGAACGGACCCTGGAGAAACAAAGCATTTAAGTCAACATTCTGTAATACACAAATGTGTATAAATTATAAAGGCCTATCATCACAATTATTATATATCAACATAATAATTAGCCACGTTACCCTGACATCACTAATAATGACATTTTACTTTTCCTATTAAAATATTTAGTGTATAACTACAATTATTCTTTCAATTTTATGTTTATAAATAAACATCAGAAATAAAGAATAATCAATAATTACAAATGAAGAAACAGACTCACTGAGACTATCACCTTCACAGTCAGTATCACTGTGAACTTCAGTGTCATACTAATATCATAGTCAACTTCAATAAGTTAATCGGCAAATTAAATCTGTAACTCCTGCCTCCAAGTCTAGTAATCTATCTCAAATATAAAAAGACCCATGAACGGAGTCCAAACATTAGGTCAAACCTCCAGGAGAGTAATCACACTAATAACTAAAGTCGTGATATCATGACACTGTATGAAAATCTTCTTACATTAGGGGTCAAAATGATTCCCCTTGAATATGAAAATGCAAATACTTTTGATTCTCATCAAATTCTGTTTTATCTGGAATGGATTAGAATTAAGGTCAGTTGAGTGGGGGGGTGGGCGATTGCAAGAAAAGGTTAAATGGGGCGAGCCCAGCAGCACAGTGGTTAAGTTTGCGCACTCTGCTTTGGCAGCCTGGAGTTCGCAGGTTTGGATGCCAGGTGCGGACCTACACACTGCTGATCAAGCCATGCTATGGCGGCATCCCACATACAAAACAGAGGAAGACTGGCACAGATGCTAGCTCAGGGCCAATCTTCCTCACCAAAAAAAAAAGAAAAAGAAAAGATTAAAATAACACAAGCCATTAGACAATGAAATGGCAAAATAGAAAAACTGTCAAGTGGACAAAGGGTGTTGAGGTGTCAGATGCTGAGACAACCTTATCTAGCACTCCTCTGACAGGCTCTTGAACTACATGGAAACTGGGCACATTTTAAGCAACAATCCAAGTTCCAGGTTTTACGTACTACTTATAAGACAACAATTAAAACCTACATACTCAGGGAGGCCTCCCTACCACAGCCAAGGCTGGGTCACCCTGCTGTGTCCTGTCACCCTGAAGTCCCCCATCCTAACATTGATCTTGCTTTATTACAGCTAATAATATAGTTGGTAAGGTCTCTCTTCCCAATTGCATAGCCAATTCTGGAAAGGCAGTGCCCTGTCTGTGCTGTGTGCTGCTGTGTTCCCACAGCCGAGCACCTTTCCTAGGCACACGGATGACACTCAATATATGCTTGCCAAATCTAACAGAAAGCAAGAATTTACTGCAATATTACTAATATATATCATCTTCAGAGGATTAATATTTACTCCAAGATGGTGTGAAAGGTCAGGCGAACTCTCTCCCTCTCCCATTTGCTGTCACTGCATGAAAGCTTGGAACAGCTAGACACTACATAACGTCTTTCCTTGGTTCCTTCATTCCCAGCCAACGCAATCCGCATCACAATCCGGGGCTGTCAGTTCAGGGACAGTCACAACCCCAGTAAGAGGCTAGAGTGGCATACGTAAAACACATATTTATGCATCTCCTCCTCTGCTATATAAGGTTAGCATCTTTTTAGATTTAGTGCGGGGCACAAGAATCTGGTTATTCCTCTACACTTACTTCTTTCAATAAATACATTTTGAGCATATTTATATCCAGGGTACTCTCTGAAGTTCTGAGATACAAAAGATCAGCCAATGGACAGGGTTTCTGCCTAATGGAGTTTATGGTCTGGTGGGATGGAGTAGAATTAATCAAATAATGAAAACAAACACTTAAGTCCAATTATTTTAAGTTCTGTGTAACAGAGAATTACCTCACCCAAAGAGCGGTCTGGCCTTGCCCTCGGCTCCTGGAAGGGGATCTCTAAGCCCCTGAAATGTCGCGCTTGATAAGAGAGTCTTTGTTTACCTGGAGACCTTGGGCCCCCAAAGGTGAACAGGAAATAAACTTCTATGGTGTTAAATCACCAAATTTAGGGGTAGGGAGTACTACACTAGCACATTAATAAAGGGTCCATGGGAACACGTGTGGAAGCCAATCCCTGAGGGGCACAAACGTTTTAACTCCACCTGCCCTACTGCTACCTTCATCACCCACAACTTTAATCTCTACTCTACAGAGATATTTTCACAATCTCTTCTTTGGTTTTTTCCTTCCATTCTCTTAATGTTTTAGTTTGTTTCCACCTACTTCCTTATTTTTCAGTCTGATCATTGGTTCATAAATAAGCCACTGTATTGTCCTGACGTAAATATGGGGAAAATAAAATTACCCATTGTCAAAAGAACATCTCTTTGTTCCTCCTAGCCTTTTCAACCAACTCTCCCTCTTCATCACTGCTCACCCATCTTGACTCTAAGCCTCCTTTCTCTTCTCAGTGACAGAAAATCTAACCACTGTTACCTAACGAGAGCAAAGAGAAGATTCAGGTGGCACTGACAGGAAGGAAGGAAGACAACATATTTCTCCTTCTTTTCTTTTAGATAAAATGATACTTACACTAATGGTAGAGGAAAGAGCTCTTCTTCAGTTTCTCAAATAAGAGGACAAGCTACACAAGATTAAACACTTGCATACTCTGGTATATGAGGCAACTGGTCCACTACACTTTCATGAAAAACTTAATTTTCAGAACAAATGTTTAGAAAAAGATCAGTCCAGGAGGTTAACGATTTCTAAAGAGAGAAGACATTGAGAATGCTCTAGATTGTTTGCCATCTATTGATCTCCATGGCTCTCCAACCTGCCTACAGCAATGGGAACAGCACTGAGTGCAGCAGCACCGTAACACAGACTGACCTGACAACCAGGCTGGGAAAGAGATAAAACCTTTCAGGAAAGCACCCAACGGACCTTGTATCTATTTAGTTTCACGCATTAGTTCCCTCTCCCTGACTAATAATGGAGAATCACTTTCCTTTACCTTCCTTAGTTCTCTACTATTTCAGATTGATATAATTACTATACTTTCTTAGAAAGTTCCCATTAATCTTCCACACTGAAAAGCCTCTGCTGTACTCACGAGGGCTTTTTCACTAGCAGGAGTCGCAGCATGGACTTTAGTCGGATGGTACAGGGGAGAATCCCTTCGCCCGCCTCAGAACTGTCTTGGCTTAGAAGGAGAATGCTGTTACCCAAGGGATCTTCTGTGTCAGCATAGCCCTAACAGATTTCATAAAAAGAGAAATTACTGTTTGATTTTATACATATTGCTTAACTTTTAACTTGAAAATAAGAATTGTATTGGCCTATCAAGCAACTCATAAATTTCGTTCAGTTCAAGTGAATAGTCGCTTTTCAAAATAACTTACATTGGTAACAAGCTTACATAAAATTGTATTTAAAAAATAATACTGCAGAACTTCAGGAAAATATGTCAGCCCTGTCGACATTTCCTAATTTTTCTGTTTTCCAAGATTCTAGTAGTGGCACCTCCCAGATCTTCAGCCGTGTCCCCACAGGACAAAGATGGAGGCCTACAGACACACCTGCGTGGAACTGAACTGTGTGAGCTTCAAGGCCGGAGGCCCGGGCTCTCTCTTCTAAGAGAGTCGTTCCTATGAGGACATTTCCCATCTCCACCTTCTCATCCAAGGGAGGTAGGGACCTGAACTTCCCTCACTCCTTCAACGCCCAGAAGGACAGCTAAAAAGCCTTCTTTCCAAGCGTTTGTTAATTAAAGTATCACTCTAATCACATATATACAGGGATAGAAGTCATGAGGCAAGCTTAGTTACGTAATGTATGCGTAAAAAGCACTGCTTGCTTTGCCTACAAGCCTTTATATTAGGTTGAGTTCTATTTTTCAGTCAGTGCTAAATGCCTGCACCTCAGTTCTTAACCTCCATCCAGATACGTAAAGTGTACACAGACAAATTAGCTATCCTGGTTTAACCCGCTGCCAGGAACCAGACAGCCTCCCACTTCCTGTTCACTTATCCACAGTGCCTTCGAGACTTCTCTTCATATCTCTCACATGACAGTTCCGCCGTTTGCATACATTTAAATCAATCACACTCACCAAAGATAAATGGTACAAACAGGGAATTGCACAGGGTACCTGCAGTATTGGAATGACAGGACAGAGAGACTCGATAAACTTGTTCCAGGTCAGCGCTGTCATCATCAATCGTCCCTGCAGCAGATACATCAGAATGGCCTTGGCAGCAGCATTCACCTGCACAACAACACAGATAAAATAATCCGACCAAATGGGGCTCCGACTAGCTCATCTTACATACCTGTAACACTTTATAAAACCCGGAAAAAAATCAGCATCTCTTCCTTCAAATGTTCATATCTCCGTAGCATCATCTTACATTCTGCTCTCAACCCGTCTTCCTCCCTTAATAATTTCCTTCTCTTTTACGTTTAAGGTATATTTTTCCATTGAATAAAAATTTCCCTTAATGAAATAACCTGCTTACTGTAACTACTGTATAGTTCTCCACATCTTAGATGAAAAACGTAAGTAACCAGTTTCATCTGAATTCTTTGAGAACAAGTATGTCCTGTATTTTGATACTCACATTTTCTTTAACATTTCTTTTCAAGTAAATAATACCTCAACTAAACCCATACATCAAAAACAAGTTTCTTTTCCATTTCTCCTCATACTATCTGGTTATATTAGAATATCATCTTGATTTAGCTGAGTATCTAAAGAATTACAACAGTCGTTTGCACTTACTTCTAAGATGCCATACCTCATTTTCGGGCTCTTGCATGCCAAATGCAGAGATTTCATACAGAACTTTTGGGTGAAGTAGAAAATGAATTCCATTACAAAGTGAAGACACAGGTTTAGTGACATTATGGACACCTAAACATTCCTGTAAAATAAGACAAAAAGTTTTTAAAAATTAGTGACACTGATATTTCCAAAGAATTCCTCTTTCTTCTGTTTATAATTCAATTCTAATTTTAGTTCTCCCTTCACTGAAACTTTTCTTTTACCTACCTGGAAGAGGATGAAAACAGATTCTCTTGCCAAATGGTTTTTGAGTCTGCATAGGGTATGTTTTATGTTACCTTCAGCCAACAAGGAGAGTCTTGATAAATTAAATAACCAAACTGCTGAGACAACCATAATCTCTTAAAGTTGCTCATAATGATAGACACAAAGGAAATAAACAACATAATAAACACATCCTAAGGTGTTTGCATTTTGCTTACTGAGGTTTGAGAAAGAAAAACAAAATTCAGGTGAAAACAAACTTAAAGTTATGAGGGGAAGGGAAGGACAACACATATGTTATCAAAACAGCTATGCACCCAAATACAAGCAATGACTCTGTACCATCTCTTAGACTATCACAAATTCTTTTCTCAGTTTGAGCTAGAGAATAGTATTTTATTAGCGACTGCTTGAGAGGGGATAAAAGCTACCTAAAATATTAATAAAATTTAAATATAGTATAAAATTAATACTGATTTAAAGAAGTGTAATTTTTTTCACCCTGCAAATTACTACTTCCTAAAAGAGCTCCAAGTTACACACATACACACACACTTCTATACATATATACAAACATATTTACTTTTTTTTTCTTTTTAAATTTTAACTTGATGTCACAGACAACAACTTTATATCCCAACTTTCTGAAAGAGCTTAAGCCTCAGCCTGTGGTTTTAAAAAAGCTCTGTCACTCACTTCCTTAAAACACAAACTCTCTGAGCTTCGGTTTATTCATCCATAAAATGGAAATAATACCTAATCCTCAATAAAACACCTTTCTTTTCCCATCACAAAATATATCAACTTTCTTACAACAGAAAAATATGCCATGAATCCTATCAAAGACCAATCCCTACCCACTAAACTACATCCTATTTCTTCCTAACATCACAATTTAGTTCCTGCAACTGTCTTCTTTTTCTCTAGCATAACTTCTTGTTCTTCACAGCATTACTCCAATCACCGTTAGACGTACTCTAATGTGCCCCTCGACCTACCTTGCTCCTGTTGCTAATGACCCATTTTCCAGCTCTCCTTCACAGCACAAGTCCTCAAAAGAGTTTAGTGTCCTCTGTCTCTACTTGCTCACTCTCCAGGCTCTCCTCGACCCACAACAACAGGACATCAGTTCCTATCACCCCACAGAAGCTTCCTGTCAACCTCTGTGACACCAACCCAATGGGTTCATCTCTGTCCTCATCTGACTCTGCCCAGGACACAATACTTCCCTCTCACCTCAGACACTTCTCTGTCTCTCTTGCTGGCTCCTTCTGTGCCCAACTTCTACCTGGTTAGACCCTAGATGGCCTTCTCTTCTCCAGTCTCTCACTAAATGATCCTACTCAGACTTATGGCTTTAAATACTATCTCTGTGCTGATGACTGAAAATCTTACATCTAGTCTGGGCTCCACACTCCAGAGGCAGTGTAGCACAATGCTTAAGAATATGAGCTTTGGAGTCAAACTACCTGGGTTCAAAGCCCAGCTTTACCGCTTCTAGCTGAATGACCTTAGATCTTGAACAAATTTTTGCAAAAAAAATAGAACCTACCTCACAGAGTTGTTGTGAGGATTAAATGAGATAACACACTTATAAAAGTACTTGGTACATAGAGTAAATGATAGCTGCTATCATTATTATTACCATCATCATCATTATCGTTATAGTCAACTGTCTACTTAACATCTCCACTGAGATACAAAAAGGCATCTCAAATTTATCAGGTTCAAAACACAATTCTATCCAACCTATAATCCCATACTTGGGACAACACCATCAATCCAACAGCTGAATCCCAAACCCCAGAATTCATCCTTGATCACTCTCCACCTCCTACTCCCATTATCAGTAGACCAATCAGCTCCACGTCCATAAAATATCCTGAATTCATTTCCTCCTCTCCGCTCCACTACATCATCATAGCTCATTAGGGCTACTACAGTAGAATTGGTCTTCTTGCTTCCACTCTTGATCCCCGACAATCTGTTCCCCACACAACAGGAAGAGTCATCTTTTTAGAAAGGTAATCAGATCGAATCATCCTCCTGCTTAAAATCATTCATAGCTTCTCACTGCATTTAGAATAAAATTCAAAGCTTTTCAATGGTTGGCATGAACAGGCCCCCTGCCTACTTCTCCGACCTCATCTGGTACCATTTTTCTATTCTCCAGTGTGCTCCAACCACTCTGGCCTTCTTTCTGCTCACCTGAAACATGCAAAGTGTGTTCTTACCTCAGGGACTTTTCACCCGCTATTTCCTCTGCCTCGCAGCTCTCTCTCCCAACCTCCCAGCCAGCCTACCTAAATGTGAGCTCACATCCCATAGTCACTCTCTATTCCTTAACCTTCTTTTATTTTCTTTACAACACTATATATATGCTTTTTACTTATTTACATACTTTTTATTATATATACTTGTTATCTCTCTCTCCTCCATCTAGAAGGTAAGCACTATGATCATAAGGATCTTCTCTGTATTTTTTACTACTGTATCCCTGAAGCCCAGCATACAGTAAGTGTCCAGCAAATATCGTTGAATGAATGCATAAACACCATATGTAAATAACACAGAAGTGGTAACCAAACAATCGTCCCCAAATAAAAGCTACTTTACCTCTTTCTCATCCCTTCTTCAAAGTGAGTCTGACAATAAAAAGCTGAGCTGCCTATTAATAAAAAGCAATCTGTGCCTCAGTGGCATTTAGGTCATGTAGTGATGCAGCAATGCCTTGGGGATTTTCCAAAAGACACTGCAATAACATCATATGAGAAATACAGCCATTAAAAGTAAAAAGCCTGTACAAAGTCTTATATCTAAACCCAAATTCTATATCCTTACAATACAGGGGGCTGGCCATAAGAAATTTCATCAACTTGAGCTTTTAATTTAAAGATTATTATAACTTCATGAATACAAATATGTATCGAGTTTAAAATACCTCCTTTTACTATACAAATGAGCATCTTTTGTAAGAAAAGAAAAATCACAATTATATTTCGCAAGAACAGTGTCAACTAATATAAATTTCCAAATAGCTAACAAGAAAATGAGACATTAAAGTTCATATTCTTTTATTTTTTCCTTTCTCTTTATCAACTAATATAATAAGCTGAATTTGATATTTAAATATTGATCAAAAAAACACCCTTCAACTTAAATTTAGATTATTCCAACAAAGTGTATACTACTTGGTTATAAAACTTATGCTACAATTTAGAATTTTCACAATCACTAACAGATTCAGCGCATTCTTTAAAATAATGAATTCTAGACTGACATATGTATTCCTGCACTTCTAATTCCCTTTTTTCCTAACATTCCACCAATAAGTTAACACCTAGACAATTCATACTTGAAATTCATCATGTAGCAAAATGATCGTATACATTGACAACTCAGTTTGCACCAAATGTTACCTATGAGCAGACTCTTCTATTTTCCGAGAATTATTTAAGATCCACTTCAAGGATCTGAACAGCAAATCTAATTCCACCATTCTGAATTTCTGAATGTAACAACTATCCCACATATAGGAATCTCAGTTTCTTGACCTCCTCATCACAATGGCACTCACTGCCCTATGTCTCAGGAACACTTCAACTTAGTTTTCACTTCCTTCATCTCTAAACTCATAAACATAGGTTTCTAACCTTCTTGCTCAATACAACTTCACAACATACTACTTCTTTGGCCTCCAGTCTACAACCCTTTCTACTTTCTTCCCTCTAGCCTTTATTTCCTTTGATTCTACAGTCTATCACTTCATCTACTCAGCTCACTTGCACCAAAGGCCTTCCTTCCCATCATCAAGGAAAAACCCCAACTTTCAATGGATCCAAATGTTCATATTCCCCAAAATAAGAAACAGCTAGTCAGAGATAATCATACAAGGGAGATTAGTTTCACTGTTATGATTATGGACACAATCAACTGGGTTCTCAACAAAGTCCAAAAATCCTGCTATTTGATCTTATCAAACATCTACTCATATCAATCATTTCAAACACACTGAACAGCTAATGCACTTACTCACTTTCAACATCAAAGAAATAGAGTCAACAATAGAAGGAGGTTCCCTCTACTTCCTATTACACCTAAACCCAATTAGCCATCAATGTTCTAGATCCCACCACCTTCAACTTTCAAAGTTACTAGCTGCTTTTGGGGGGAGGGGGGTGAGGAAGATTGGCCCTGAGCTAACATCTGTGCCCATCTTCCTCTATTTTGTATATGGGACACCACCACAGCATAGCTTGATGAGCAGTGTGTAGGTCCACACCTGGGATCCGAACCTGCGAACCCCAGGCCGCCAAAGCAGAGCGTGCAACTTAACCACTAGCCACTGGGCCAGCCCCAGCACTAGCTTCTTTTAATTAGCCACTTACATTCCTCTATCTTCAACCTTTCCCTCTCTATTGGTTCTTTTGATGAGTATTTCAACTTACTCAAATGAAAATATATCTTCATAACAAACCCCTCCCAGGCTATGGCACCTATCAACTTTATCAAATCCCTGCAGACAAATCAGAATATAAAGCCACTATCTAGAGGATATGAGATTCCCCAAATAAAAACTAGTCTGCTAAAGACGACCTCACAATCAAAAATCACATCACTGCTGAAATCAACAACATAACAGATTCAATAACCATAATAAATGGAAGAATTCTATATAATAGAATAATCTAAAAAAGATTATAAAATAAGTGGTTTTAAAATTTCAAAGATGCAAAAGAAGAAATTAATGAAAAACTACTATAAAAAAATATGAGTTAAAAAAGCGAAGAGAAAGTCTAGAAATGAAAAATGGAATAACTGAAATTTAAAATGATGAATAAGTTGCAAGCAACCACAATGAGATCAGGATGGTTATTATAAAAAGAAAAACAGAAAATAACAATTGTTGTCAAGCATGCAGAGAAACTGGAATCCTTGTACTGTTGGTGGAAATATAAAATGGTGCAGCCACTACGGAAAACTGTATGGTGGTTCCTCAAAAAATTAAACATAGTCTTACCAAATCATCCAGCAACTCCACTTCCTGATATATACCCAAAAGAATTAAAAGCAGAAACTCAAAAAGATATTTGTATACCCGTGTTCATAGAAGCACTGTTCACAAAAGCCAAAAGATGGAAACAACTCAAATATCCAACTGATGAATGTATAAACAAAATGTGGTACAGACATACAACAGAATATTATTCAGCCTTAAAAAGGAATGTATTCTGATATATACCATATCATGGATGAACTCTGAAGACATTATGCTAAGTGAAATAAACCAGACACAAAAAGACAAATAGTACACGATTGCAATCATTTGAGGTACCCAGAACAGTCAAACTCAGATAGAAAGTAGAATGGTGGTTGCCAGGACCTGGGGGTAGGGGGAATAGGGAGTTACCGTTTAATGGGTACAGAGTTTCAATTTGGGTAGATGAAGAAGTTCTGGAGGTGGATAATGTTGATGGTTGCAGAACAATGTGAATGTACTTTACTGAATTATACACTTAAAAATGGTTAAAATGGCAAATTTAACGTTATGTATATTTTGTCAAAATTTTTAAAAAGTAAATTAGACATAGCTGAGGAAAGAATTAGTGTACTGAATGACAGCATCGAGGAATTCCATCCAATCAAAACAAAAAAAGATACGGAAAATATGAAAGAGGGCTTAAAAGACACAAAGGGTAAAAACAAGAAGCTCTAACATAGATCTAATGAGAGTTCCACTTGGAAAGAATAGCAAGAATAAGATAATAACAACCGAGAATTATCCAGAAATGGAGGCAGACATGAGTCTTCAGATTGAAGAGTACTAAACAAGATAAACAAAAAAACAAGTGTTTTTTAAAATAAAAAAAACAAAGGCGTATTATAATGAAACTGCAGAACACCAGAGACAAGGAAAAGATCTTAAAAGCAACTAGAGGAAAAAAATACAAAAAATTAATTTATAATTATAAATTATAATTATAAATTATACAATTAATTTAACTTACAGCAGACCTGTTAACAATGATAGAAGCCTAACAAGAACGGAGCAGTATTGGCAAACTGCTAAGGAAAAATACCAGTCAATCCACAATTCTATATCCAGTTAAACTATCATTCAAGCATAAGGTAAAATCGAGACATTTTCAAACACATGAACCATCAGTTACAGACTGTCACTGAATATACTGAAAAACTTATTTCAGTAAAAAGTAGACTGAACCTAAATATTCATCAATAAATAAAAGGAAGTATATTCAAACTAAATAGCAGTTAAGATGAATGAACTAGGTAGATCTCAAATCCTACTTTAAAAAAAAGAACTAGGCAGGAAAAACATATGTACAGTATGAAATTATATACTTTTTTAAATGGACAAAACAATAATATATATGATTTACAAAGACATGCATATATAGTAAAAATATAAAACACACAGATGGGAAGGATAAAACCAACTTAATAAGAGTGGCTATCCTCGTGGAAGAACAAGGAAGAAGAGAAAGGAAAGAAGCTTCAGTTATAACTGTAATACTTTTATTTCTCTGATAAAAGAGGATCAGAAGTAAAAATGGCAAAATGTAAACGTTTCTTATATCTAGATAGTACTTACAAGAGTGTTAAATACAAGAGGACATTTTCAAGAGTACATAGGAAGGAGCACATATTTTTCAATATCGTTCTATGTACAATGTTCTTTTCAATGTTAAAATCATTAATATTCCATGTACTACTCTACGCTGAAATATTTTATAATTTAAAAACAGAAAATAAATATTTGTTTCAAAAGAAAAATATTACTAAGAAAATTGACCTGAAACTATAAAATTTAAGCCAGAATAACCTAAAACTTTTCCTGAGCATAGAAATAACTTTTGCATACCTGGTAGAAGTAACCTTTTCTTTATAATTTTTCCATCATTACATAACACAACATAAACGTAATGCTTAACAAAGAAATTCAATTGCTAAGACTTACTAAGTTAAGAGAACTGAAGAGTTAACAAATTTCTCAGTGTTGACTGATAATTACTGTCTATTTTTTTGGTAGTAGTTCTTGTATCTCACCCAAAAGGTCAAGTAATTTAATTTTGGAGCTAAATAAGGGAATCCACTGTTAGTTCTCTCTCAAAAATCAAAAAACAAAAAACCCACCTTAATAATTTCCAGACAGCAGTGGTAAGTTTCAACTTTCACTTGTAGCAATGGGTGAGACAACATACGTAGAAACACCTTCTGACTTTCTCCTTGTAGTAATGGACTAGCCTGTGCAGATTTCCAGCTGGTAAAAAGGTAAAACATCCAAGACATCTAAGGCTAAATAGGTTACTAAACAGGTTACTAAATAAGATTGAAAAGCATATGGAAAGAGTTTCTGCCTACTCCAGTTCCTCCAACTGGGATCTTATTTAACTAACCCAATATTAGTAATTACACAAGCGCTTACTCATTTCAAGGTAGAGAATATTCTCTCTTAAAGAGTATAAAAAAACTAAACTGTCCTTAAAAACCTATATTTGGAATGTAAATTGGTACAGCCATTACCGAAAACAGTATGGAGTTTCCTCAAAAAATATCACATGAGCTGGCAATCCCACTTCTGGGTATATATTCAAAGGAAATGAAATCAGTATCTCGAAGAAATATCTGTACCCCCATCTTCATTCCAGCATCATTCACAATAGCCAATATACGGAAACAACTTAAGTGTCATCGATGGATAAAGAAAATGTGGTGTATACATACAATGGAATATTATTCAGCCTTAAAATCCTATCATTTGTGACAACATAGATGAAGCTTGAGGACATTATGCTAAGCGGCATAAGCCATGCATAGAAAGACAAATACTGCATGATCTCACTTACATGTGGAATCTAAAAAAGTCAAACTCATAGAAGCAGAGAGTGGAATGGTGGGTGCCAGGGGTTGGGGAGTAGAGGAAATGCAGAGATGTTGGTCAAAGGATACAATCTCAGTTATGCAGGATGAATCAGTTCTGGAGATCTAAGCTTGGTGACTATATTAACAATACTGTATTGTATACCTGATATTTGCTAAGAGAATAGATCTTAAATGTTCTCACCACAAAAAAAAAGTGAGCTGAAAAATAAATAAATAAATAAATAAATAATAAAAACACATACTTAATCGATATTTATCTCCACGGAATTTACTCTTTCCAAAAGCAATGAAAATACTAAGTTCTAAATAGGAATCTGCACTGATGTCCCCAAAATAAATTAGCCAATGCATGGTGCTTTCCAAAAATCCATACAAGAAAAAGGAAGTAATGAAACTTACATTAAAAAAATCCTCAATTTAATTTATTAATTAAAACTTTAAAGATAAATAAATAAATACACTTGACTACTTAGGTTGGATGGACACCAAAAAATGTATAAATATCCAAGTATAACTCATTTTGATGATAGGCATGACATTTTTAATGTTTACTCTTGAATAAAACAGTTAACTGTCCTAATGCAGCTGTATGTGTACAGTTTAAAGGTCAACTACATATAAAAGCAATTTAAACTAAAAAAGAAGAACAAGACTTAAGACCTGTTTCGATTTCACTGCTCCTAAGTTTACACACACACAATATATTAAGATAATAATCATATTAAGAAAGAAAATATTACATCTCTGAACAAATGCAGATGATTTCCTTTATTAGGGGGAAATGCTGATGAAAGGAAAAGCTACGCAAGGCTTGGTCTGCCAGCTCCACTAATTCTAAGAGATTCTTCTCTCCCTAAAAAAGAAGCAGAATGGAATAGTAAATGTCAAGTTCATGTACAATAAAATTCTCAACAACTAACTAAGTAGCTTCAAGAAATTAGATCATTCAGAGAACCTGAGATTGTTCACATTTGCTTACGTCCACTTTCCCAACAAGCAAACTAAAAATGTCAGCCTAGGAAGAAAAATGTAGGAAAAATCCCTAACTAATTGCCACGTGGGACTTTCTACTATTTACCTCTGAATAGGCTTAAGTTACAATCAAGTGGTCTGGTTCTTTGACAACTTGTTTGTGGCCCTATCTCCCTTCCAACTGTAACTCAAGGCAGGGCTCATGTATTTTATGATCCACCTCCTCCTTCTAACATCCTGACCGTTCTAGGTACAGAGAGGACGATCAATACACATATGGTTAACGGACCATGCAGAATGCCACAGAAATAATTCAACTTAAAGACAATTCGAAGTTCTATCGTGGAGGAAACAAGAAGCCAGTGGCATCAAGAGGCGGCAAAAAGTAAGGCCGACCCGGTGGCGTAGTGGTTAACTTCACATGCTCCACTTCGGTGGCCCAGGGTTCATGGGTTCGGATCCCAGGTGCGAATCTACACACCGCTCATCAAGCCATGCTGCAGCGGTGTCCCACATAACAAAATAGAGGAAGACTGGCACAGATGTTAGCTCAGGGACAATCTTTCTGACCAAAAAAAAATGATGTGGCAAAAGGAAAACAAAAAAACTATAGTTGATAAATAAAGGAAAATTCAAAATATGAGGTTCAGATAGACTCCACTGAAGGGGCTAAAAGGAATAAGAATTTTATCCCTAATTTTTCAAGACCTTCAGGACCCATTTTGGTATTTTCAGACAGTAAACAAGTATTGTAGTCACTGTCTATTTTAAGACTCGTTAACCCTTTCGTTAATAACATACTAAATAATATCCTAATAGTATCTCTAAAAGGAATAAATAACAATACAAATCATTGCTACAACATTGTACCTAAAGTCACCCTAATATCTTACAATCTAGTTCATGACTCAATTTAATAAAAAATCAGGCTCTTTGTGTGAGTAAATACATGTCTTCAAAATACTAAAGGAAATGGGCTGGCCTCATGGCTTAGTGGTTAAGTGCGCGCGCTCTGCTGCTGGAGGCCCGGGGTTCGGATCCCAGGCGCACACTGACGCACCGCTTGTCCGGCCATGCTGAGGCCGCGTCCCACATACAGCAACTAGAAGGATATGCAACTATGACATACAACTATCTACTGGGGCTTTGGGGAAAAATAAATAAATAAAATTATAAAAAAAAAAAAAAAATACTAAAGGAAAAATGTGTCTACGAATAAGCACTAAAATCGCCCTTATATTTCTGTTTATGTCAATCATCACTCTGCTTCTACATAGTAAGCCACTTCGAAGAGGAACTCACTACTAAATATGAAGACACTGATAATAATTAGTTTTTAAAACCATTGGTCTCATGAAATATACACCATTCATTAATCTAAAGTCTTCATTTTACTTTTACACATATCCTTACTTTAATCTGATAATTGACCCACTCAGTAACAATGTACCCCACCTCTAACAACTCAATTGCTATATGTTCAACTTGAAAACCATAGGTTAAATTTTCTAAATATCTTATAAAAGAAGTTTAGAAGAGATAATAACAAAACTTTTTACCTCCTTCTCAACGTCAGACAGAAAGTTACAGGCACATTCAATTGAATAAACGGCCTCTGCAGTTCGTTTATAAATACTGTAGTTTTCAGAATTCAGCTGTTCCAAATAGGCCACAACAGCTTCATGAATATTCGGATATTCCAAAGAAATAGGCATGTCCAAAGAAACTAGAAATAACGCTGCTGACATAGGCTCTGGTAAAAAGTGGCTGGCCTTGATAAATAAAAAAAAAAAAATTTTTAATTTTTTTCAAAAAACCATTTTTTAGATAACCATGGTAGACTATAATCTTACTGCAGTTTAACTTTCTTTTTTAGTAATTCTCTATCACAAAGTCTATGCCTTTCCAAAGAAAATTCTATTCCCCAACACATCATCTATCTCTATGCCTTTGTTCGGTATAATTTCTCTGCCCAGAATATCTCAAGTCCAATTTCAACTCTTTCCCAAAGCCTGGGATACAGGATGCTTCCTTCTCCCCCACACCAACACCTAGAATTACTCTGCCCTTAGGCCCTGCACCTTGTTTATACCTCTGCCACTGAACTTAAGGCACAAGGCCCTTTTCTTGAAGTATTCTGTGCGTGTGCACACAAATCTCTAGAATAATCTCCTGAGGACAAGAACACTCCCCCACCACAGCTGAACACACAACCCAGGGCTTATTAACAACATACTGAATTGAATAACACTAAATCAAGTATAGCTATAAATTGATTTGAACAGAAACTGATTTTTTCTTTGGTTTTGTTGTGTTTTAGAGGGGAAAGGGAAAATTCAACATAATATTTAAAACAGTTCTAGAACACTCACAGAAAACTGACCCTTAATCAGTATAAAATCAACAGGCACAAATGAAATATTACACTTGATATAAATTTAAATCAATTGATTTAAAACTGAAAGAACTGTTTGGGCTTTTTTTTTTAATGATTCTAGCTTCATGATAGAATTCTATGCGTCAATTAAGAAAATGAAAAGGATTAAAAATTCAACATTCAGAGAAAATCATTTGGCAGAGCTCACTAGTATGGCCAAAATGCTGTGTCTACTAAAGTAGGTTTGGTCGTGATTTATTTCATGGATTTTTTAAGTATAATCATTAACTGCCTGAAAGTCCAAGATGAAGAGCTGAATCAGCTAAACAATGCTTTTAAATCAAATAAAGTTGCCAAATGAATATCAGAAACTACAGGAATCAAATTTTTAGGTTACTAAGCATGAAAAAAACCCAGAGTATTAAGACAGCAGCTATTAGAAAGTCAAGAGAAATTTCATTATTCTGTGAAGAACTCTCCTAGTGGGAAAAAGAGAGAGAGAGAAACTAAATGACTGGATCACCTATTATTCGCTTGCCCAGCAAATACTTACTGGGCCCTCCTGTATGCCAGGCACCATTCCAGATCCTGGGAACAATAGGAAGTAAAACACAACCTCTGCCCGCATGAAGCGATCATTCCAGTGGAGAAGGCAGAGAGTAAACCAATACACTTTATAAGATGTCAGGTGTGGCTAGGAGAGCCTCGGAGTGCCAAAATTTAAAAAACGGGATGGGAAAGATGGAGAGGAATACAGAAGTGATGGGGAGATGGGGCAGGGGAAGGCCTCTCTGACCTGGAGGAGTCAGCAGCCATGTGGATATCTAAAGGAAAAGCATTTGTAGAAGAGGGAACAGCAAGAACAAAGGCTCAGAAATACAGTATATTTGGCAGCAAGGAGGCCAGTGGAGCCAGCACTGAAGCATGGAGTCGGGGGCAGTGGCGGCCAGACCGAAGGCTTTGGGTCATCTTAGGACTAGTGCAAGGGTGGAAGCTAAGAGACCAACGAGGAGGTCACCGCCATAATCTAGACAAGACAGGAAGGTGGCCTGAACTCAGGTAATAGCAGCGGAAACGGTGAGAAGCGTTCAGATTCTGGACAGACGTTCAAGGGAGAAATGACGGATTTTGCTCAGGGATTGGATGTGAGCGTGTGTGAAAGACAGGAACCAAGGACGACTCTGAGGTTTTTGCTTTATCAACTATCAACTAGAAGAGTGAAGGTGCCATTTACCAAGACAGGGAAGACTAGAGGAAGAACACACCGGTGAGGGGCAGTAAAGAATTAAGTTTGGGACATGTTAAGTCGGAGATCCAGACTGTCAAGTGAAAATGTCAAACAGGATGTTGGATATATACGAATTTGGGGTTCAGGTGACACATGTGGTTTGGAAATCTAAATTTTCAGTTATATAATATTATTATGTAAAGTGAGACACCCATATTTTAAATGCAATCCCAGTCTTATATAACTAGAATTCTTCAATTTATAATGTTTATGCCTTGGAAAATTATCACTCTTCAAAACAGACAATTTCCTCAGAAACATAACAACTAACGAATAAAAGTTAATTAGAAATTAAAATTAACAGATGTTAATTTGATGTTATTTTCCCTAAAGCAAAATACTATATTTAAAATTTAATGTTTTATTCTTGTTTTCCCAGATGACCTGATAATACACTGCATATTTAAGTGTTATTAAAAAACGGAGTTTAGGCTCTATGCTCTGCAGAGTGCTAGGGAACCAAAGGGCAAATGGCTATGACACAGGGCCGCACAGGACAGAGTGCTTCAGTTTAGCAATCTCTCCAGCTCCCTCACTTAGGCTAGCCACAGCTTTCTTTTCCCAGTAAGTACATTACAAAACACGTGTATAGGAGTCATTTCAGATACTTTTACCACCAACACTCACATTCAGAAATACAACCTCCACTTAAAAATACAGTTAGTAAGATGATTTAAAAGAAATATGTACACCTATTAACCTTTAACACACGTATAATGGAAGAGTATTTTGCAATAAAAATTAAACAACTGCTACAAGCAACAGTGATGAATCTCAAAAAATCCTGAACAAGTACAAACTTTATAATTCCATTCACATAATGTTCAAAAACAGACAAATTCAACTATGGTGACAGAAGTCAGAAAAGCCCTTGGCTTGGGGGAGGAAGGAGAGGTAATGGACGGGAAGGGGGCTTTGAAATGCTGCAATATCCCATCCCATATTCCGGAGGGTGGTCATTCTTTAAACACAGATATATTCACTTAGTGAAAATTCACTGAACTATGTACTTTTCTAAACATATGTTACACCACAATTTTAAAAAGTTACCTAAAAAAAAAACCTTTACAGAATTAATGTTTTTTTCTATCAAATGATTTGCCAAAATCGCTCAAAAATGTTAGCCATTTCTTAACATCTACATTTCCAATATAATCTTTGTACACTGTGAAATGATCAGAAGGAATTTACAACAGAGCACTTACCTGTAATATCCAGTGGACTACAAGTAAGCAACGTTGCCCGCCTTACCTTTTCAACAGGGAGAAGCATTTGCAGCAGCCGAACTGCAAACAGTGAAATGCTGACAAAGGCCATCCTGTGGTGCACCAGCGCCACCTCTGGTTGCTCCAAACTGACACTGCTTTTATGGTAACACACGGTGTCTCCAAGGGACCCCAACACCATGAGCAGTTTCTCTTTCTGCAAACATTTAAACACAAAACAGAAGAAAACAACCAATTTTAGGGGCCAGTAAGCAAATGTCATGGAGAATAATTTAAAATATTATCATTAAATAACAAAAACAAATGAAAACAAAAATTTATTCCTCTCTATAAGAATAACCAATACCTACAAAGAATTCTAAAAAGTACAAAAGAATGATAACTATACCTAAATTTTAACAATAATTTTTAAGTATAGTATGATGAATTCTAACTAATAAAAATAACAAAACATAAAAGCCTAATGAACCATAAATTCCTCCTCATTTCTAGCAGTTAATTGTTCCCACTACTAACATTTGCATGTAAATCTCTCATCAAGTATTTATCAGGCTTACTGTATGCTTAACACAGTGGCAGGTACAACAGGAAAAAAATGCATCTGTACAAGAGACATGATCCCTGCCCTCAAATTGATCCCAAAGTTACTAAAGAAATAAAACAGGGAGTGTCAAATAATTAAAAAATAATTGAATATCAAATTGCATCAACTCTCTCTTGAGGTAATAAGATCATTTCAAGGGAAAATGTTCTACCATCATAAATTTCTAGATCATTTACTACTTAAATGGAAGTTATATCTTTTAAATTGAAAGGAACACATAAAATACGAAGAGAAAGCTAAAACGTAGTAGACTAACTTGCAAATCATACACTATAGACCAAAATACACCCTCAGTTGCTGACGTGCCCGTAAACTGGCTGGTGAAAGGATAGCACAAGTCAGACAGCAGAACAGAAAAAGCACCGGGGTTCTCACTCTCACCTTCCCACTGACAACACAGCCAAATAAAGATGGGAAAGAACCTGTAAACTAAGGACGGAAACCTAATGTTACGTCAGAAATTTTTTTATTCAAGGACGAAAATACAGGAAGCAAAACTAAAAGGTATCAAGCCTATAAAAATTACAAAAAGGATCAAGGCCACAATGAGATACCGCTTCGCACTCATTAGAATGGTTATTGTCAAAAATAAAAGAAAATAACAAGTGGTGGTGAGGATGTGGAGAAACTGGAACCTTTGTGCACTGCTGGTGGGAACGTAAAATGGTGCAGTCACCGTGGAAACACCGTGGAAACAGCTCCTCAAAAAATTAAACAGAATTACCATATGATACAAGTTTCACTTCTGGGTATATACCCAAAAAAATTGAAAGCAGGGACTCCAACACATATTTGCACATCAATGTTCACAACAACATTATCACAACAGCCAAAAGATGGAAGCTTGTCTATCAACAGACAAATGGATAAATAAAATGTGGTTGGCAGTATATAAATACAATGAAATATTATTTGGCCTTAAAAATGAAATTCTGATACATGCTACAACATGAATGAGCCTTGAAAACATGCTAAGTAAAATAAGTTAGATACAAAAAGACAAATATTGTATGATTCCTCTTATACGTGGTACCCTAGAATAGTTAAATTCACAAAGAAAGCAGAACAGTAGCAACCAGGGGCTGGGGCAGAGGGGGATTGGGGAGTGAGTATTTATGTTACATATATTTTACTATAATAAAAAAATATTACATACAGGAGTAAACTTTTTTTTGTTACTTACATGGATCATTTGATATTTAAGTTTTAAAATAAACACCTATAAAATTAAAACTGTGACACTTACTTTCCAAATCATTGCACAAGTAAAAGGAAGACAAAATAATCTATATAGCAAAAAAAAAAACGAAACAAAAGAGATAGCAAGAACTCTTGAGAAGACCAAGCACAACAAAGTTCCACTTTCCCTATGAATGAAATATTTCACATTGAAGTAAAAAACAAAAATCAGTAATTTACACATATAAGAAGGACATCTTTATGCAGAAAAGGTTAAAAATTAAATGTGTAGTGAAATACGAACAAAAAAATCTATGAATAATGAATAACCCAGGGCAAAAAAAAATTTGAATAAAAGGAGTAATTTTCTACTGATAAAATGCATAATTAAGAGTCAAGACCTAATAGAAATGAGTCTTCGTGATCTGAATAACATGCAATATCAAGCAAAACCTGTTACTGAAATGAAGATAGATTTACAGGTTTAACCGTCTTTTTGAACTTAATAAAATAAATAGATAAAACTTAGAACATTTCAAAGAATACAACTCCTCAAGTTTCCATGGAACACTGACAAAAACTAACCATTTTCTTAACCAAAGAAAACTTTAATATACATTTAGTCTATATTCTCAGATCCCAAGGAAATAAAACCAAAAATTAATAAAAATTTAACCCAAAGGCAACCCTTACAAAATTAAAACAGAAAAACTTAATAGCCGTTATATTAATAACTAGTAGTCTAGAGAAGACAAATTAGAAACACAGTGACAGTCATTATATTGACAGGTAATTCTTTCATACAGTACTTCTCCATTAAAATAATATTTTTATATACCTACAAACAACATATCTGCTATTCAAGACTAAGTTTAACAATGTAAAATTCAAATCAATGAAAATATTTAAGATCTCAGTATTGTAGGGCTTTTTCTAACAGTCTATTTACTTGCAAAATTGTTTCCAATAACCTTGCTAATTCTAATGATGAATTGAGTCCTTCTCAAAATAGTATAAAAAGGAAGTACTCTAAGAATCAGTCTTGTACTTTTCACTATGTCCAGCATTTCTTCTAAGCAAGTTTTTTTTTTAATGCTTTAAGAAAAGGATTGAAAAACAATTGTAACGGGTCCACAATTTTAATTCATTGGGCTACAAATGTTTAAACGGCTGTGAAGCAGTTGATGGGGTAACAAAGGCCAGCTTCAGGGGATATTCATTGCTTTTACAAAGAACGTGTAGAATTAAAATATCAGACTAGCAAACCATTCTAAATATTCCCAATAAAACAGAATTTATAGTGCAAACTATTTCTCCACTATCTACTCACTATAAAACAGGCTGTGGATTCTGTAAAGCATCTGAAATAAGCGACTGGCTCAGCTCTCCCCCATATGCTTCCAGCCTCACACCCCCACCCCCTCCCCACTGCAGCCAATCACCCCTCCACGTGCAACTCTCACCAGGCACTTCTCTGTGCAAGAGCAAGCTGACCCTGCATCAGACGACGGCCAAACTACTCAGCTCCGTGCAGTGGAGAGCCCTCTCTGAGCAGAGCCTTACTGAACCCACCAGCATCTCCCCCAGCATTTCCACCTCTCATTTCAGGCGCTAGTTGCTTTTGTTCCCCCACTAGCCCTACCCTTCACTGCCATTCAGCGCTATCCCTTCCTCCTTGTCATTCTCTTCCCTGGGCCAGATAAAAAACCCTACCTTTATTTGCTTAGCCAAATCACAGCATAATTTAAGACTCAATTCAGTCATGATTTACAAAAAGCCCTTCCCGAGATCCTAGGTTGGGAGTTTTTTCAAAGCACCCTTGGCAATAAAACATGATTAAAAATACAGAATCCTAAGTGACCTAGAAAAAGAAACTGTGCCCCCATTTCCTCATCTGTAAAATGGGTTATCTACCTTATAGGGTCATGATGATTAAATGAGCTCACAAACACAGAGTGCTTAAATAGTGTCTATCATAGAGTAAGGGCTATATTTAAACCGCTTCCCTCTGTTTCACTAGTGTCATAATAAAAGCATCTATCGCCCACAAGAGTGAAAAACTGCCACTTATTCATCTTGTACCTCCAGTGCCTACGATATAACAGGCAATCAAGAAATGTTTGGTGAACTAAAATAACTGTCTCTGGACTAGTGGCAGTAACAGGGAAGACATATGCTAACTAGAGATCCCACTCACCCAATTATAAATTCACAATCTGGTTCAATTACCCTGATTGAGCCCTTACTGCATACAAAGCCCTTCTCTCGAGGTACCCTCACAATCCTCTCAGCCCCACTTGAACTCCAACCAGCAAGTCTTCCAACAGGCCTGGATATCTAAGTTACCAGCTCACAGCAGGTCAGACAGGAATTTAGAAGCAATGAGTCATAAAGGAGGAGAAAAGACTGCTCTTCGAGACATTGCAATGACAGGAAAGACAGAGAGAAGAAACACAAAAAATGAAGAGAAGAGAGTTCCAGGAGTCAGGGGTTACCCAGCATGAGGGGAAGATCCTTATTTCTTGAACCTAACTTACCCTGTGAATTAGGAAACAACAGACTTGACTTCATAGAGAAGCCAAGAAGGGATGACATACTTTTCAGGTCAACCTAACTTTTACAAGTGCTTATCAATAAATTTTCTATTTTAACAAAAGATTATAATTTCAGTGAAAACACATTTTTTTTCTTTTATTTACTTCAAGTGAAATAAAAATATTCCATTTTAGGGAGGAAAATTTCTTTGACCATGCTTGCCCAAACTGAGTTACGGAGTTCCAGATATGACTGCTATTAGCACAATTTGGAAAGATCTGGAGATTTGATTATACATTCTGAGGTATTTAATTCCTGAATTGGTACCAGTACAGTTATTATTTTGTTCCTTTAATGACTCAACAAAAATACTGCTTCTATCTTTCTTTTAAAACTTCACAAAAGTAGGGACATTAAGAAATTCTACTTAATTGTTTGCTTCTATTAATGTATAGCCAAAGGAATGAGATTTTTCCTAGGAGGTATTTATTCTTTTAAACAAGTAAATCAAACGTAACTTCAAGCAGTACTGTTTTATTTAACATTTCTAACATACCATTTGGCACTTGTACAACAGATTTAACCTTTAAAGTAAAAATAATTCATTGAATCATAAAGATCAGCAGCCAAAAGTTAAAAGTGAACGACTAACTTTTACAGATAGATGTTCTGGCCAAGAAAATTTAAGTTAATTTAAGAAGCAACTGATAAAACATTCTTCACACTTCTAAGGAAAAACTCACTTGTTGAAAACCTTCAATATGTGAAAATCTTCTAAAAGTACCACAAAATAGTGGGATAACCTTAAGGACTAAAGAAAAACTAAGATTAAAAACTATTATCCCTATTTTATAGATAAAGAAATTGAAGGATCTGAAACAATATATTATACCTATAATAAAATATTTAATTTGCTTCTCTTTTCAAGAGATTTGTGTTATTAAAAAGAAAGTTTCGGTTTTCACACACAGGTATTGGTATTAAGTAAACATCAGTATTCTATTTATTTTTTCTGTTCTAATCTCTATTCACAACAATTTCAGGCAGCCTATAACAAAGTTTAATAAAACACAGACAGACCAAGGTCAAAATAACATAACGAGGAAAAAAAAATTGGTAACTATGAGAGTGGATATATATTTTTATGACCAATTAATTTTGCTCCCACTTCTCTGACAAGGCAAGCAAAAGAAAAAAAAAAAAAAAGAAAAGACATAAGTTACAAATTTACATAAATAGAAAAGATAGAACACCAGTTCTTTAAGGAAAGCAAGCTTATCAGATGATAATTTCAAATAAAAGATATAAAATGACAAATGATTTATGATATACTGAAATGTAAAAAGGGATATAGCTTCCACTTACATGGAGATATACCCTAGTAGTTCACAGATCTCTTAAACATTACATCATAATATAACATTCCTGAGGCTCCTGTACGTGTGTTGATTACTGATGCAAAATATTACTTATCAAAACACTTCTTCCAAAAAAGGAAAATATAATGCCATATTTCCAAAATCATCTTTCCTACTCAAATACAAATAACAAAGTACAAGGCATCCAGCAATAAAATGAACTACTGATACAGGCAACAACATGGCTATAACTCAATGTAATCATACTGAAAGAGAGAAGTGAGATAAAAAAGTATAAAAACAATGAGTTCATTCATATAAAATTCTAGAAAATGCAAACTAATATATATCATGGGTGTATCCATATGCTAAAATGTATCAAAAAACTTTTAAAAGACATGTGCAGCTTACTATATGTCAATTATACTTCAATAAAGCTGTTAAATACCCACACATACATTCCCACATACATATATATGAATAAACAACAAGAAATGTGCAAAATCTATATGAGGAAAATACTCCTGAAAGACAAAAGTGTAGAATTCAAGAAATGGAAAGAAACAGCACATTTTTCCCAAGGTGTGGAAAGTATCTTTCTAGCTATGATTCAAAATCTAGAACCAATTTTTTAAATAGAAACTGACACACCCAGCTACATAAAAATAAATAAATGAATAAATGCTTTTGCATGGCCAAAAATATCATCAAGAGAGTCAAAAAAAAAAAAAAAAACCACAACTTAACTGGGGGAAAGAATTGCAACTTATGTCAGAAGGCCAATGTCCTTAAAATATAAAGAGCTCTTAGAAATCAAGAAAAAGAACAAAAGACCAATGACCCAAGAGAAAAATGGATAAAGTCCTGGACAGTTTACAGAAAAAGAAATGAAAATGTCCTTTAAAGTTGCAAAAAGATATTCAGCTTTACTGAGAGAGAAGTGCAAATTAATACTATACTGACATACCATATCTCATTTATCAGAATGGCAAAAATCTGAGGTTTGACTATAAATCCTACTGCTAAATCTATAAGAGAAAACACATTCTAATAAACTGCTGGTGAGGGAATGAAATGGTATAGCTATATAGGAGAATGTGACAATATCTACAATTAAAAACACATTTACTTTTTGATATAGCAATCCCACTTAAAGAAACCTACCCTGGAGACACATTTGTATAAGTATGAAATGACATATGCACATTATTCATTTCACATAATTTATATTAGCTATTCTGTCCATCAATAGGAGATTGGGTGAATAAACACATAATAAAGCACTTGTAGCCTATAAAAAAGAATGATGATCTCCATGTATGGACATGGAATAATCTCCATACCTATTATTCCAGGCATACAGGATGTATTTCTAAGTTGTAAAAACAAGGTGTAAAACTGTATATGACACACCACCTCTTATGTAAGATGTGGAGGGCAAATAAGAATCTACATACTTATTTGCTTTCCTTTGCAAAAACTAAAATAAAAATGGAAAAAATAAAGCAGAGAACAGGATGGCAAGGAGACATCTCCAAGTTACATTTTTATGAAGAGAAAACAATTCCCAAAAGTGAAAACAAAGTGAAACAAATCTAACTGTAAATTGAATTGGTAAGAGAAAAGAATTCTTTCAAGTGACTTCAAGACACAGTATATTGATTTAGTCTAAGTCAAAAAAGAACTGCAGGGAAATCTTGAACTTTATTAGTTATTGACCATAATGATACTACTACTACTATTCTGAAATTACTTAATATATGCTGAAGGTAGCCAGCCCTGGAGGTCTAGTGGTTAAGATTCAGCACTCTCACGGCTGAGCCCGGCTTCTTTCCTGGTCAGGGAACCAAATCACCGTCTGTCAGTTGTCAGACTGTGGTGGCTGCGTGTTGCTGGGATGCTGAAAGCTATGCCACTGGTATTTCACATACCAGCAGGGTCACCCATGGTGGACAGGTATCAGCAGAGATTCCAGCCTAGAGAGACTAGGAAGAAGGACCTGGGCACAAACTTCCAAAACACTGGTCATGAAAACCCTATGAACAGCAAGGAGCATTGTCTGATACAGAGCTGGAAGGTGACAGGATGGCGCAGAAAGACGGGGCAGGATTCCACTCTGCTGTCCACAGGGTCGCCAGGAGTTGGAATCGACTCAATGGCACTAACAACAATGCTGAAGATTAAAACTAATAAGTAATTATGTTGATATTGCTAAGAACACTTTCTATGAGCAACAGTACAAGTATGAGCAAAGAAATACAAGTTTAAAATCAAAGAAATAGCAATATGAACTCATAATTTTTCATAAATACACATTTCCTACTTCTATTACTGAAAGGAAAGAATGATATCACGGTAACTATAAGCAGCTCTAATGGCCTGTTTTTTCTCTCAATATACATTCCCCCATTAAAAGTAACCAGAATCTCTGGAGAAATGGCCTGCTCCCGACTATGTACAAAATAAGCCTGGGACATACCATGTCTAAAAGAACGAAAACTTCCAAAGACTACTGAGATAATGAACCCAGCTTAAAAGGACCAAAATAAAGTAAAATACTAATATATTACCCATATCCCAAGGAAAACATTGATTCTCACCATATCTATAGCAAAAAGGCTGCTGTCATCCCAGATATCTGCTGAAATTGCTTCACCAATGAGTATCATATCCTCTGCAAGCAATTCCAGAACTCTTATTATCATGTGTCTACTACCTAGGAGAGAAAGAAGGAAAAAAGTTCACTTTCAAATAAATAGCTGAATATCAAACTACTTGATCCTCTAGTTAGTTTGCCCCCAACTCCCTAGTTTCTCTTTTTATTTTTTTTTTGATGTTTTTAGAATTGTTGAAGGAGATGAATAAGGAAGTCACAATCCACAACCACCATTAAAGACTTCTGCTCTGATCACAATACTGTTTACAACAAATCAAAAGTGCTCATAAGTGGGAAAGACACTCAAGAAGAGAACAGCAATAATCTAACTTACGTACTGTGTGCTAGATGAAAATAATTTTCAAATTCAGAGTTATCCATGTTACACGTAAGACATGACAAAGCACCAGATAAGTTTAGAAAATGCACTCTAATAATTTCCTTCTTAGTACTAGAAGGCTTTAAGCCTCATCATAAATTAGTATTTTCCCACATAGGAATTGCCTGGGAAGCTAAGCTTGGACTAGAATAACTAAAGGAATAAATGTCCATGCTGGCATTTGCTCAAGAAAACTTTGAAGAATTCCATCTGAAATAGGTTCTCAAGCCTACAGTCATCTTAAATCTAAAAAAATTCCAAAGAAACTGTGCTGTCAGAATTACACCCACCAAAGCAATCTCCTATCTCTACAGAGACAGAATCACAAAGGAATTCCACTACCCATAATTCTAAGTGAGGTTAACATTCAATCAAGACTCTCCTGTCCCACAAACCAAGGGCAGTTCCTAATGAATAAAAGTAAAACAAACTACCAGTTCATAAGTGTCTAGATTAATTGTTTCATTAGAACAGCTGGAGCAAGTTCTCTCGGAAATCTCTTATGATACTGAACAATTACAAATTATGCAATAATTTACCACAAAAGAGCAAGAGAACATTTAGAAAATTTTATGTACCAAGATACAGCTTTATAATTATCAATCTGACTTTTTATAGCAAATTAAGAAAAGGTTAAATGCAAAATCATTAAACCTAAAACTGTTCTTCTCAGTATACCATGCAGACAAACATAAATACATTACGATGCCAAAGGTCAGATCTTCCCTCATTTCACATTACTAGTTCATGAATTAATATGTACTCCTAACGCCTGCAAGCAGAGTTATTCAGTCAAGGAGAAGTTAGGGCACACAGTTTTCCTCAGGATAAAAAAATTTTTAATGCTTCCCAAACGTATACCTACCTCCTGCTTTCCTCCTCAGCACTTCCAAGCAGGCAAAAAATAGCCACAGGACTTAAAGAATCATTAGTTTGGGATATATTTTTTACTCATACAATATAAACCAAAAAATGTAAAACTCATGTATCTTGTATTTATATCTTAACAAGTTTATCAACTACTGAAGACGTACAGATTTAGAGAATAAAAATCATTATTGTTTCCAAATCTTTCTTTACATCGGAAAATGCTAAGTGCTTAAGAGCATGGACATTGGCTTTGGAAGAACCTTGCTTCAAGTCTCTGTTCTTCACTGTTTGACTTTGGATAAGCTTCTAAACCACTCTAAACCTCAGTTTCCTCATTTGTAAAATGAGGATAAAAGCAGTAGCTACCACTGACGGAAGGATAAGATGGGATGGTGCGCGGAGTGCATGAAATGATGCACACAAACCCCAGGAGGACAGCCGAGCACAGCAGGAGCTCAACACACGGTAACTGCTGTTTGATTACTACACGGGTGGACATCAGTCATATTGTTACGGTCCTTATCACTCTTCACTAAAATGACAACTACATTCCAGTGTATATTTCAGTATATCTTTACAAACTTACCTAGCACATTTGACAGAAAATGTAACTCAAGAATGTTTGAGTTGTTTTTCGGTTTTTTTATTTAAGAAAAAGAAATTCCCGCAAAGGTAAGAATCCAGTTTGGGGTTTGTTTTTGTTTTTAACGTTTCACAGCTTAAGTAAGAACTGAGTGGGAGAATGAAACTGAGAGCAATTCAGAAAGTTTCTACAGAGCAAGAGCCAAAGAATTCTTTATTGTGATCTGTCATGCTGCTCCACCTGCTCTCACTTCTCCAGTTGCACTGGTTTCCCAGTGCTCACATGTAAAGTAGCCATTTTAGAAGTGCAAGCCTGTGCAATAAAAAGCCATAAATGAAAGAGGATACTCCATCTGAACAGTGCTCCATGGTATCCATGTTTAATTAAGAGATAATAAAGATCTTATTAAGTTCTTAGGAATTTGTACCCCAAAAGATAAGTAAATACAGATTCTAAAGGTCCTAAATAGATAGAAGGTGAAAACAAGAAAAATAAGAGTCCTAGAAAACAGACAAAACAAACACAATTATATAAAAAGAACTATGACTTCAAAAACAACTAACCTGTTCTTAAGAGAGGAACTGCTGATTCCAGAAGGGAGACACAGAACTGGGGGAGACTGAGCTGCTGGAACTGCAGCTCCACGGCGTCTTCAGCTGGCAGCTCGGGCAGATCCACGTGCGCTGTCCCCAAAGGTGAATGCACAGACATCCTGGAGTTCACGTGAGCATGACTGCTACTTCCACTGAAAAACAGACAGATGGGAATCCCTGAATATGGAAACAGCTCACAAACAGATTTACTGCATAGCTGCTGCCTAACATATCAGAAACCTCACAGACACAATTGTACTGCTTCCTGCAACAATTCTGGTCAGATCTGTAGAAACCTCGACAAATTTATGAGATTAAATTCCATAAAGATGGCTCAAAATTGTAAATGAAACCAAAAACGCATTTATATTTTGCTTTTCAAATTGATGTTCTCGAAATCTGTCAACATTCCTATAGTAGCAATCAACTTGAGCACTGATAACCTTCATTTCTAAAGGAAAGCAAGCAGATTCAGAGCAAAGTTCTATAATCAACTGATAAAGGCAAAACTAAATAGCTCATATAGTTTCCTAGGTTTTTGTGATTTTCACCAAATGTTCTAAGTAAGCCAACGTTAGCAAGTAAAGAATGCCAGAAAAATATGATGAGAAATGGATTACTTTAATTAGTACATTCAACATCACAGAATGATTTTGAAAACACACCAAAAAATAGAACATCCCATCTTTCTTGGCTTTCTCCACAAAAAAATTCTTACCTTGGATGTGAAGTGGTGGGGTGGGGATAACAGCGCTAGAGGAAGGCTTGAGCCTCACGTTTACAAAGAACCTCAAAATTTTGACTTTTGATGTGATCCACAATTGAAGCTGAATCACAGAGATGCACTAATGCTACTGAAACACGTATAACTCCCAAAATTTAATACATTTTGTCATTTCTTCAATTTCAATATACCAAGCATCCCAAAACATGGAAATGAGCCGGGCTTCTCTCAAACTCTGAAAGGCCCCATGAGGAAGATGTTCACTCAGGAGTGAAAATTCATAAGCTCACAGCACACTAGACACCGCTTCGAGAAGGAGGTGGAAAGGCTTTATAAGAGTGGAGAGGAAAACCATGCCTGAGTACCACCAGCTGCCATGTAAGGATCAGGAGCACAGGCTCTCACATCACACTGTCAAACCCCTGCCCTGCGCTGTACCAACTGTATAAACTGGGGTTAGGCTCGCAGCCTCTCGGAACCTCAGGGTTTTCTGTAAAATGATGATGATAATAATAATACCGATCCTATTAACGGACCGTTAGCAGGACGACTAAAGGAGACAAAGCATGGACAGCACTTGGCTGACAGCAAGCACAGAGCCAGCACGAGGCAGTGCTAGCTTGCAGCAGCAGTGTCATGAGACAATAATCCAGCCAGCAGACTAGTGTTCACCTCACTGAGCATTTATCAGAATGACACTAAACAAGAAGCTAATAGGTTTGTAAGATGCTTGTAGCCTAAGGATGAGGTAAAATACAAATACCATGCCAATCCCTTTAAGAAAACTCAGAATAAAAGTCTGTATTTACACAAATAAGTAAGATACCATACATTGTGCACACTGAAGGAGTCTTTGTTTTATAAATTCTCCAATTATTCCCTTTAATAGTAAACACTGATGCATTTACATTATGATTAGACTTACAAAAATGGGTTTTAAATATTATCAAAATGTATCTATCACTTAAACCTATGTTTTTGAACTAGATCACATTTCATTTGTGGCTGGTAAAAACAATTTAGTCGGTCAGAATCATCACTCTTGTTTCAATGAAAGAAACAGAAAATACAGTTCACTGTGTAGCACATGGAATTAGAGTACTATTTTGTGAACATTTTGTTTTGGTGGACACACACACAGGCACACATACACACACACAGAGGCACACACTCAGGCACACATACACAGAGTATAGATCTGTATACTGAACACTGAATTGCAATGTAATACTTATTTCCTCCTGTGGGTCATGGTCAAAAAGCATGAAAGCCACTGGTTTAACAGAAAGTCCACACTTGTGCTAATGTTTCAAAAGAGAAGACAGAGAAAAATAATGAAGCCCTCTGAAACTGAAACACACACAAGTTAACCTGCTTTTTCTACAGTCACCTGGAAGACACTGCATCCCAATCCTGGCCATCTCCTCTGGGTCGCTGGCCTGTGCGCCCAACCACAGAAGGCCGGGGGCTGCTGCTTCCCGGAGAAGGATTCTGGGAATGATGAGTAACTCTTACGTCAGGACAATACGACAAAGAAGAATTTTGGGAAACTGTATCTGGAAAAAAAAAAGAATAAAATTATCCCTTAGTAGAGACAGATTACTGATTATGTAGTATTTATGTGTCATTCTTCAAAAAAAACATTAATAAAATTAGGATAGTAGAAATGCTTCTCTAAGGGTAAAAATAAAAGTAAAGGTCAACCTTTTCTCCAAATATTCACTTAGCACATTTAGGTTTACATCTAACTGACCTGATTATATGGAACTTTCTAGCCAACATTATTCACTTACAACATCAGAGACTGCAAAAGCAGAATACCAGATCATGCACTCCCCTGCTTAAAACTCTCCAAGAAATCCTACCCCAAATAATTTGCAAAAATTAACTGAAAATGGATCAACAACCTAAATATGAGAGCTAAAATCATAAATCTCTTCAGCAGAAATTGTAGGGGTAAATCTTTATAACCTTGGATTTGGAAATGGATTCTTAGATGACAACAAAAGCACAACCAAAGAAAACACAGTTAAAATGGACTTCAAAATTAAAAACTTTTGTGCATCAAAGGACATTATCAAGAAAGTGACAACCTACAGAATGGAAGAAAATATTTGCAAATCATATATCTGATGAAGATTTAATATCCAGGATATATAAAGAACTCCTAAAACTCAACAATAAAAAAACCCCAATTTAAAAATGGGCAAAGGACTTCAAAAGACATTTCTCCAAACAAAATACACGAATGGCCAATAAGTACATGAAAAGTCACTAGGGAATCGCTAGTCATTAATCAGTAGTCTTCAGGGAAACACAAATCAAAACCACAGTGAGATATCACTTCACACCTACTAGAACTTTTTAAAAAAGGAAAATAACAAGTGTTGGCGAGGATGTGGAGAAATTTGAAGCCTCATACATTGCTGGTGGGAATGTAAAATGGTGCAGCCACTAGGGAAAACAGTTTAGTGGTTCCTCAAAAAGCTAAACATAGAATTAACATATGACCCAGCAATTCCACTCCTAGGTATACAGCCAACAGAACTGAAAACAGGGGCTCAAACAGATATGCCAATGTTCACTGAAGCATTAATCACATTAGCCAAAAGGTGGGAACAACTCACATGTCCATCAACAGATGAATGAATAAACAAAGTGTGATATATACACATAATGGAATATTATTCATCCATAAGAAGGAATGAGGTTCTGACACACACTACAACATGGATGAACCTTGAAAACATTATGCTAAGTGAAAAGCCAGACACGAAAGGACAAATATTGTATGATTCCACTTGTATGCAGTACCTAGAAGAGAAAAATTTAGAGACAGAAAGTAGATTAGAGGCAACCGGGGGCTCCAGGGGGAAGGGGAAATGCGGAGCACTGCTTAATGGTTACAGAACTTCTGTTTAGGGTGATGAAAAAGGTTTGAGAACAGATCACGGTGATCACTGCACAACAGTGTGAATGTAATTAATGCCCCCAAACTGCACATTTCAGAATGGTTATAATGGCATATTTTATGTTACATTTATTTTACCATAATTTTTTTTAAAGAATTAGGTAGAATAAAGGCGTGTGCAGAGGAAAAAAACCTCTGCAAGAGCTTCTCACTGCTCTTCAAAGAAAATATAAAATCCTTACCGAGATCTACAAGTACCAATACACTCCAGCCCCTGGCTAGCTCTCTGACCTCACTTCACTCCCCTCTGCCCTCCCCACCCCCACCCCCACCCCCGGTTTACCACACTCCACTCACACCGGCCTGATTTCTCCTCCTCAAGCACGTCGCCCTCATTGCTGAGGCTCTGACCTTCTGGAATACTCTTCCTGCAGCTCTTCAAGTGGATGGTTCCTTCTCACCCTCCAGGTCTCCTCCTCTGAGAGGCTTTCCCTGACCATCCTATCCAAGTAAGCAGCACTTCCCTGGTGACGCTCTGTCACATCACCCTTCTTATCCCCTTCAAGCACCTCTTATCTGAAACAAACCTGTTTGTTTACTACCTGTCCCCATCCTTCTAAAATATAACCTCATGAAGGCTGGGGCCTTCTCTGTTTCATTCAATGTTATACCCACCAGGGACTAGAATAACAGTTAGCATACAGTAGATGATAAATAAATATTTATTTAATACATGAATAAATCTTCAGAAATATCAACTATTTTTATCAACATTATAATTTTTTTTCTGATGAAATATGGGGTACCCAAAAGGTCTGTTATCAGTCATTTGCAAACGGCTGTATCTCAAGAATGTTAATGAGGAAACCCCAGACCCTCTGAGATCTATAATAAAGCTAATGTAAGGCACAAATATTCAAGTAGCAGAGGGTCAGTGAAACTCTCAACAAAACAGGGATTAACTGTGAAGCACGATGACAAATCACTATAATTTAATATTCAATGCATGTCGTATAAGTGCACAGAAATCTTAAGTTGTAAATACCATTTTGACAAGGCCAGCCTAGTACTCTATTCGGCCACTAGGTGGTGCTTTTCCCCTGAAAAGTCTGGCACTACTATCACATAATACTATGACTACATCATGAGCTGCATAAAAATGTTTTCATAAAATACAAATAGGTATTTTTCAAACCAAACAATTTATTAACACAACCTGTAACTTGCTAAAATACCCACATGAATAGCTGGACTCAGAATCCTAGTCCCTAACTCCCAAAAATACTCTTTATGTATGGGAGAAAAATAAAAACACCTTGCTAATGTCTCTTATCAAAAAAAGAAGGGGATGAGATCATGAGTGGTTCTGTCATTCACACAGTTTGTTTTCAAAGATGATAATTTGACTACGTTTAGGAGTAGGGAGTTTATGTTGTGAAAATGTATACACAGTAAGCCCTAACAGAAAGCATAATAGGGAGTTCTCAGAAGAATCTACAAGTACTGCCAGTGACTAATGAACAAATCAATGTAAATACCTTGTTTATTAGAGAAAAAACCCGGATCTCGGTGAAAGTTAAGTCTGTTTCTTAAATACGTGCACAGCTGCTGCAGGCAGGACACCGACTGTAACGCCAGGCGATGTTTCCCATCTCCTCCAAAGGCCAGCTTCAACAGAGATAAAAGGCTCTGAAACAAAGAGGAAATGAAATCGTCACGGGAACAGAGCACTCGACTTCAAAGAAGGATGTGGAGCTTCAGTGAGGTTCAACGAACAACTAAAAGAAATAAAATAAGCTGCCAAATATCTATAAGACATAAGAAACAGAAATGGGCAAAAATGACAGCATAATGCAAGATGAGTCAAAATAAGATGATAAAATTTAAATAGTGTTTCTTTTACCTAAAATCTATTAGTTGAGCACCTATTCTGAGAGAACACAGGAATTATTCCCCATTCAGAACATTAAGTTACACAGTACTTTTTAAAAATCACAGCAGGCCTTTTCATCTCTAACAGCTAAATCGTGTTGCCACATCTTGGTCAACAGCTCTTCCTCGGCCATCATCTGACAGCTGCAGCAGTGTGTATTCACCGTGGCCATTCGCTGGCCTCCATTTCAGCCCTGTGACTGTGGAGCAAGGGTGCGGAGTGAGGGTGCTGAGGCATTGTGAGATGCTATGGACATGCCACAATCCCGACCCTGGATCCCAATCTCTCTACTAGGTAAGCAACAGACTAGATTGCAAAGAATCCATCTATATGGCTCATTACGACCATATTTCCACAGCATCTAGCACTGCGCCTTACACGTACCCGATACTCAAAAAGTGATGCTATTCTTACTGTTAAGAAGGGTTCCTGCTGCCCAACCTCAATTTCCAAAGTCTCTCTCTCGTTTGGATGACCCATAAATGGTAAATTCAAGGTGGTCAAATTGGACTGCATGTGTCAAATAAGACTACCTCCTACCAGAAGAACTACCACTATCCAAATAAGTTAAAAGACAACCGATTTAAATAACCAAATATTTCGTTGGTTTTTTTTTTTTTGGTGAGGAGGATTGGCCCTGAGCTAACGTCTGCGCCCATCTTCCTCTATTTCGTATATGGGACGCCGCCACAGCATCGCCTGATGAGCAGTGCACAGATCTGTGCCCAGGATCCAAACCTGTAAACCCCAGGCCGCTGAAGCAGAGCACACAAACTTAACCACTACACCACTGGGCCACCCCCAAAAATTTCATTTTCCAAAAACGGTAGTGCAAATTTCTTTTCCAAGGACTCCTACTTGGCAAAATTTGTTTCACTGCAAAAAGTTCTCTATTTCAAAATGTAAAACAATTACAGAGGATACGCACCTGAACAATTTTTGGCCTTTGAAGGAAAATCTCAGCAGGAAAATCTTGCATGATAACATCCTTCAATAGTTCACAGGTGTTCCAGATTAAAATGTGGTTACTACTTCTTAAAGAGCTACAAAATATAGTATTATTTATTTTTAAAAAGAGTTTACTTGTACCAGATTCTGAGTAACCTTGTAGCATAATGACTCTATCACAATCCTTCAGGTCTCAGCTGAGATATCACTTCCCCTGGGAAGCCTTCCTAGATCTTTTCCCTAATCAATAAACAACTCTGGGGCAGGTGCTTCTGCCACACGCCTCTATTTTGCGCTATGGTAATTGCGTGTTGACCTTGCATCTCCCACCAGACCCTCCTCAAGAGCAGCGACTACAGAGAATCTGCCACTGTACGCCCAGAGACCATCCCAAGGCTACAAAATGAGATCAATGAAGTCAAAGGGCACAGAACTCAATGAAATCTGCTGAATGAATTAGGAAATAAGACAGAAAAAAGAGTAGTAAGTATAGAGTTAAATTCCAGGAATCAGATTCCTTATTGGTCTTCTCTACTCTAGGTGAATCAAGCTGGGACTCCCCTCTTATCCTATACAGAGGACCCCCTGAACTTTTCAGACAATATTTGCCCTCCTAGGATGTAGCAGTTGTTCACTTCCACCCCAAGAAAACAAACCCTCTCTCTCAGCCCAGCTCCAGTCCACCATTCACCACCCACAGGCAGGTACTAGATACCACATCTCCTCCTTAGGGACTGACTGAGAACTGACACATCAAAACAACCCCTCGCTCCTTTCCCATGTGTGCTCTACCTCCTCAACACGCTATTCCAAGAGAATTTACTGATGCCGGACAAGCGCCATCAGTAAAAACCATTTAATATCATGCACCTGTATCTGGCCCTAACTCTAGCAAGTTGGTCTTTATTTTTCACATTCTTTTTTTTTGTGTGTGAGGAAGATCAGCCCTGAGCTAACATCTGCCAATCCTCCTCTTTTTGCTGAGGAAGACTGGCCCTGGGCTAACATCCATGCCCATCTTCCTCCACTTTACATGGGACGCTGCCACAGCATGGCTTGACAAGCGGTGCATCGCTGCACACCCGGGATCCGAACTGGCAAACCCCGGGCCACTGCAGCGGAGCACATGCACTTAACCACTTGCGCCACCAGGCTGGCCCCTATTTTTCATATTCTTACCAAAAAAAGACTGACAACTCATTGTTGTGGCATTCACTGAAATTAAAGTTTCAGCAAAAAAGAGAAACTAGACTTTAAAACATTCTCCAAACTTCTATATAGTTGTCTACTTGGTTGGGAATAACAACCAACTAACATCCATCACACAAGATTAGATCAGTGGTCCCCAACCTTCTCCTAACAGAGAAGAAAACATGGAATCCATGTTTTGAAATATACTGTTTGCTAAAAAAGACTGCATTTATGTTTGATTTTTCCATTTTTATTAACCAAGGGTATAAGCAATGGCCAATCAGAGACTCTGGTCAGTAAGAGACGACCCATATCACCAAGGAGTACACAAGATTCCAACCGCAAAAAGACACCTGATGTGTAGCCTGATTAAAGGTAAACAGGAATTTTCTGGCACGCTTTTTAAAATATTGAAAATCATTCACATATTCCCATTACCACCTTTCATAGCTACACAGTATCTTTCTTCCTGGTGAAAATGTATAGCAATAACTATCAGACTTGATGGCCATAAATGAACCGAAATACCAGCAACACCCCAGGGACCGTACCTTTCATTAGAGGAGAGAACGTGTCTGTCGGTGGTAGTCAGGGGCAGCCAAGGGAACGTGGAAAACCTCAAGCACTTGACAGTCTGATTCACTGTTAATGGAACAGCAAAACTGAAGGCATCAAAGAAGCCCAAGTTGACAGATTCACAAATTTAAGAGCAAAGCTTTCCTTTTAAAACAAGTCCCCAAATAAAGTTCCATCTCACGCTACCAAGCAAGGTCAACTGCAATTTTGTTCCCTCACAAGACAACTAACAGAGCTCTCTTTTCATAATTTAAACGGAACTAATATATTATTATTATTATAAGAGCATTAAACACAAACCAGTATCGAATGACATTTAGAGTTTCAATTAAACTTTCTATTTTACCCTGTGGTTGACCAGAACAGAGAGCTTAAATTTAACATAAAAGGAACTGGCATTTGGAGAAGATCTTTAAGTGTAGAAATTAAAAATGATATAAACATAATCATCTACTATATTTAATTAGTCATGTTCAAATATCCTATATGGTGTTAGATGTTTAAACCTCTTTGAAGATAACTTGAAGACCATAAGGTTGAAGATCAAATATCAGCGCTCAAACAAGATTAAAAGAAATCCAAGAAACCAACACAATTTTAAACTACCCCTGCTCAAATTATTTTTTAACAGATCTTATATTGCACAAGTTAAGGCGACAACAGTGAGAAGTAGTAGCCACATAAACCCTTCCAAATGGCAAATAGTCTTTCTGTCAAATGCTTTCAAAAGAGCATGGGATGATTAAATTCAGATAACAGTATTGTTAAATTACCAAACACAGCACAGTTGCTTCTTTCAAAAGTGCTAACACAAAAGCAGGGTTTCCTTTCTAAGAGAAAGGCAGGAGGTGGGTGGAGGGAAGGACAGGCTTACACTGCACACATAAAGATGTGTCCAAAATGAGCCACGCCATCAATCCCCAAACTGCCACTCACGTGAAAAAGCATTACCATCTCAATCACCCTTAAGCTTTTCAACAGCTACACCATAAGACCCATTGTTACCAGCCCTGGAGACACTCACTTCCTTCTGACGTCTCTCACTGTCACTCAGTTAAGCCTCTCAGCCACAAAGACAAAAAACTACCATTTCGTCTCAAAACCAAAGATCCTTACAAGCCTACCGAAACTTTTCCAGAAAGTTAAAGTATTTTAACAGGTGAACAAGTTTTCTGTTTTTTTCTTATGCTGTTATTCAAACTGAACGTTTCTACAAAAGCTTTTTAATAACAGAGGGCTTCCCCATAGAGTTAATTTGAATACTTGACATCAGCAGATGTACCCTTGGACACAACTTTTTCATCTCAACTACACAGGCAAAAAAAAGTAAAGTACATGCTTACTTAACCATTCCCTAACTGCATCACCTAGGACAAAGCTTTTGTCCTTTATAAGGCTCAGTGTCCTCATCAGTACAATGGGGATACTAATAAAATCAATCTCATGGACTCCGTGAGGACTCATTCATTCATTTGAAGAATGTAACTGAGTGCCTAACACATTTTTGGCATTGTTTCACACACTGGGGATAAAGTCGTGTTTGCAGCTATCATTTAACTTATAATGAGAAAGACAAACAAGAAGTAAATCAACACATAATTTCAGATCACGATATGTGTTAGGAAGAAAACAGATGGAAAGTGACCACTGGCTAGAGTCCTCAGGAAGGTCTCTTTTAGGAGGTGGCATGTGAGCAGAAACCAGACACAGCCAGAGATCAAAAGACCTGGATGAGATTCCAGGGAGAGGGTCTAAATCAGAACTCTCTAATCAACTGGTGTTGGGATAAAGACAAACGAGGAAATGAAGACGATCCCGAGTATTGGCTTGAGTCACCGGATGGACAGTACCACTCAGTGACCTGGAGAACAAATGAGCTGACACGTGTATAGCGCAGGGCACAGCTCCTGACAGGCTCTGTGTTCAATAAGCACTAAGCACTATTGCCACCATCACCACCACCTACAGAGCTGCTCCAACGCAGTCAGAATAACAGCAAGTCTTACCATTTAGACTCTATGTCATAAACTAATTGAGGCAACTGAAACATTCCATTCAATGCTTAACATTCAAGTTTGACAATATGTCTTCACAACAATGAGGAAAAGTACAGTAATTTCTAATTTACCAGGTCAACAGATCTACCTTCCTACATATACACACCCATTGGTCGTGGAGGCACTTCTATCTGCTGGAAATTACTTTTGTCTTGAGGAAAATATCCTTTTAAGATTTCAGGTTGTGGCAATTCTGAAAAGAAAATATATATTACTGTATTATTGACCTGATATTTGCTCAAACTGAAACTCACTCATCAAATATTAATGTTTTCTAAGTTGGGTTTTTTTGTTTTGTTTTGTTTTGTTTTTTTGCTGAGGAAGATTCGCCCTGAGCTAACATCCATGCCAATCTTCCCCTATTTTGTATGTGGGTCACCACCCACGGCCGCCAACGAGTGGTGTAGGTCTACTCCCAGGAACCGAACCTGGGTCCCTGAAGCGGAGTGTACCGAACTTAACCACTAGGCCACAGGGCCAGCCCCTCTTAAGTTTTTGAATCATTTCAAAAACTAGAAAAATAACCCAGTTTTGTTTCTCTGAATAGTTTGCGTTTCTAAAGAGAAAAAAAATGTAAATGCTGAACCAATTTCAAATTAAGGGTTTTTCCCCCCTCTCTCTTCTACTATTAAGTGAACACAATCATTTGTTAGAATGAAAACATCCACAGTGTACATAAAGAACTCGTTACAAAGTCTGTATTCCAGGACCGTCCATCTCCGCTTCTTGGTCCACCTCCCTCCTCCCTTTGACTCCAATTACATAGCGTCTGATCACTTCAACTTTCATTAACAACTTTAAAAAAAAAGTTGTCAAAAAGAAAGGAGTCAAGACTCTCTTTCAACACCTCTGACAATTTCCAGTCGCAGGTGATTCCATACTTAGCAGTTCAGATGCAACAAGGAGGAGGAAAAGGCTAAAACTAAATTTTGCAACTTTATAATTTGAATTTTTCATGCCAGTAGTTCCTAATATTAATAGAGGTAACTAAAAATTAGCCCTAGCCTATACCGCTAATCTCACCTGCCAGAAACTAGATTGAAAATTCAGGATTTAAGATTCTACTTTATTTGTTACAGCTTAGACAGAATTGTAAAATACATTGTTAAAAATCACAATCACACAAGAACTCAGTAAAGGGCAGCTGCTATAGTTGTTCTTATTAACAGCAGTAACATAGTCGCAGCAGCAGCACAGCATTGGTGTAGAGAAAAATATGGTCTGATATTAAGCAAGCAAACACATGGCTTTCTACACTCTTACCACTTGCTCACATAAATTTCATCAGCGTTTTTCTTTCTCCAAATTAATTCAAACACCTTCCACGTGCAAGGCACTATACCGGGTGTTAAATAACAAGAATACAACAATTCTATGCTTAACGTATGCCAGGCCCTATGCTGAGCACTTCACAGGCATTGTCTCATTTAATCCTTACAATGCTTCTATAAGATGTTCTCTTATTGTCCCAATTTTTGGATGAGAAAACTAAAGCCTGGAGGGGTGAAGGACCTTAGCCAAGGTCACACAACTGGTGGCAGAACTGGGACTTAAATCCATGTCTCTGACTCTGACTTTAAGCAGTAGACCCTGTGTAGCCCATTTTGATTGGCCCCCACAACAAAATCAGGAGGTAGGGCAGGTATCATCACACCCCTACATGAAGAACACAGTCCAAAACGCAAGTACGAAACATTTAGAACAGTGTGTGGCACAGTGATGAGGGCTCAATGAAAATTTGTTGTTATCGTTAAAGAAATCATCTGTCGGGGCCGGCCGGTGGCGCAAGCGGTTGAGTGCACGCGTTCCGCTGCGGCGGCCCGGGGTTCGCCGGTTCAGACCCAGGCGCGCACTGAGACACCACTTGTCAGGCCATGCTGTGGCGGCATCCCATATAAAGTGGAGGAAGATGGGCACAGATGTTAGCCCAGGGCCAGTCTTCCTCAGCAAAAAGAGGAGGATTGGCAGATGTTAGCTCAGGGCCGATCTTCCTTACAAAAAAAAAAAAAAGAAAGAAAGAAATTATCTGTCAAACTAGTCTCACAAAAAGAGAATCAAGGGCGTCTTTTAGGCCCCTTACCAAAAAAGCAATAAATACAAAAGTTTCCTCCTCTGAATAACAATAGAGGAGGGGAAGAAAGGTCAAGCTCACCTAAGTTAACACAAGAAAAACAAGTTGGGGGGTGGGGGTAGGGGAGGAATCTTTTTTTTTATAATCTAAGGTCCCTTTCCTTAGCATTAACCATTAGAACCAACATATTTATATTTTAACAGAATGCATCAGATTGATTCCAGAGAGTTACCAGTTTGATCGGTTTGGTAAGATGCAGAATACAGCGCAGGAACTTCTGAAGGAAGAATAAAAAGTCCATCCAAAATGCCATCAATTTCAGCCTGTAGATTTGGCTCCACGTTAGAACGAAGTTTAGATAAGAATTCGACTGCACCAAGATCAACCAAATGCTGGACCGCTGGGGGATACTGAAAGAACAGGAGCGCCTTGAGAATAACGATAAATAACAAAATCTCTAGACATTATCTTACCACAGTCAAAACATCCAATTATTTTTGGTATACCAGATGTTCTTTGTTAAAAAATAAATCTTCCATTGATATACCCCAAAGTAAAGAACTTCCATGAAGAGGACACAGATTTATAGAGACATACATAAAACATCTGATAACACTTACGAGAGAAAAGTCCAGACACTGATTATGAGAAATGCACACTATCAATTCCTACTTTTATTTATTAAATGGATTACTTCTTCCCTCTGACACTCACTCTACCTTCTCCCACCTCCAACCGGTCAAAGGATGCCAAAGTAACAAGAATCCCCTCCAACTGCACAGTGATCTACAGTTTTGCAAGGTTAAACCTGCACTTTGACATTTGACCCTGACAACTAACTACTCTGCAGAAAGGCAGAGGAACATAAATCTGAAAAGCAGATATGGGAAAAGCAATTTAACACACTGCTGCTATGTATTAACCACGGGCTGTTAACGTTATCTTTAAATGCATTCTCTTTCATACAGACACATCTAATTTTTAACATGTAAATAACAGCACATAAGCCAAAACAGAATGACAAACATTAACCTCTACAGATGTTTCCAAAAATCAGAACATACCAGCACTCGGGAGTCCTGTGTTACTTCAGAGCACAGGAGAGACAACGCGAGATTCAATATCACAAGTAAGAGAAAAGGAAGATGAGCACTACCTACTCAGATAAATTAAAATTCAACATTTCCAGTTGTTTAAAAAAAAATTGTTTAACTTTCAACAAAGGCTACAACTCAGTGACTAAGAAACACTCACTGGTCTGATAACTTTGTTTCAGAATGCGCCTACCTTCACCAGCCTACTCAACAGGCTCAGAGCCTCTTCCTTCATGGGGACGGCCGGGAAGCTGAACCACCGCAGCAGGTGCAGACACAGCAGCCGCTCGGGGGCGAGGTCGGCGCCGCAGACCAGGCTGTGCTCCACCTTGCAGAGCAGGCTCCGGAGCGCGCGCGCCCGGATCTCGGCCAGCGGGTGACCTGTCAGAGCAGCAGAGCACAGCTACCTCCCTCCACCGGGACGCCCACCGGGAACCCCCCAACACCGGGCGACTGACGCGGGGCGGCGCGCCGAGGAGGAGATGAACCCGTATTTTCACAGGGGGCCGCGGGGCACTGGGGACGAGAACTGCGCGCTTGACACCAAGTCCGAGCCGCGTCCCCGGGGGCTGCCCCCCTGGACGGGAGACGGGGCCGTCGCGGGGTGGCCCGGCCTCGGAAACGAGACACGGCCTTTCGCAGCCAGCGGCCACGACAGGAGGTCGCCTCGGGCGACGGGCACCTCAGACTGTTACCGAGTTTCCTGATGAGCCCCGTCACGACCATCTCGCCCGCACCGTCAGCCGCCGCCGGAGAATTAAACTGCCGCGCCACTGCGTCCGGCCACAATTAATGTCCCCCCGGAAGCCCGGCCCGTCACACGGCGGGTTCCGCAACGCTGCAGCGAACGACCTGACGAGGCAGAAGCATTCCGTGAGCTGTTCTCAGCCGCCGCGCCGCGGGAGAAGCTTTCAGTCTCTCTGTAGTTACTACCACGCAGTTCCTAGACAGCAGTCTCTGTTGTAAGAACCGGAAGGAACGAGGAGACAACGAGGGGTAGAACCTCCTTTGGCCGCGGGGCATGTCGGGAGTTGTAGTCTTTATCCATTCGTGCTCCCCTCCCGGAATTCCGGACCCGCCACCGCGCCCGCCTGCCTGGGGTTCCGGTGTCCAAGCGCGGGCTCTGGCGCGGGCTGCAGAGGCCTAACGCAGCGCTGCGTCCTCGTTCTGCGAGGGATTCATTTATGACCCTGCCAATCTGAGTTCTCGGCTCTCAGAACTTTACAATTTAGAATGCAGAGTTTTGTTTTGTTAGAATTCCCCCGCCCCCATTACTAAATGACTTTGCCGCTTTAACTGTGAAATGTACCTGCAAAGTCAAGCAGTGTCTTTGGATACCTAAATTCAATAAAACCAAGCAAGCCACAAAGGGAAAGAGACGGGAAAAAGGAAATAAGTGAACAGAAGAGAAAAAGGGAGACTGTAGAAAGAAAGAAAAAAAGGGGGGAGGGGGGTGTGAATTAGTATTTGAATCCACCAAAGTTGATATTTGCATCTTGCTCTGTGATCCCTCTGAACAAACAGAAAGAAATTCTAAGCAATGGTAACACCACCACCAAAATTAAATTTGTAGAATGATTTGCATTTGAGACAGCATTTTATCTCACTGATCTTTTCAGTTTCCCTGGGAAAGAGATGTCAAGGGGGTATTCCCATTCCTATTTTGCACAAACAGGGAACTTAAAATCAGACAAGTGCCTCACCCAAGGTCACAGCAGCTAGTAAGTGGTGGATTGAGGACCTGACCTTAACTTTCTTTGTAACAGTCTTAGGACCTGGCTGCCTCTGCCTGTGTGTAGGTGAAATAGAGAATAGTGACATTTGAGTTGGATCTTGAAGGTTAAGTAGGAGTTTGTTTGCCAGGCAGAGAAATGGGGTAAGGGAATTCCTGCCAGAGAAAACAGTACGTGCAAAGACAAGGATTCAGAGTGAGTCTGTCCAAGTCAGGGAAAGTGAGAAGTTCTATGTGGCCAAATCTCCTCTGGAAGGAAGAAGGGGAGACGAAGGTGGGTACCAGCAGCTGGTTGGTCTCCATTTGGCTCTGGAGTTGCTCCTCCCAGCCTGCCAGCCTCTGCAGTAACTAACCTGCACAGGTGAAAAGACTCCACCATCCAGACTCCCTGGCCCTCTGGCTTCTGGGTGGCTGTGGCCAATGGGAGACGGCAGTGGGAAGTTGGAGAGTGGGAGGAAAGAGAGGTGTGGATATTTAATCAAGACTCCACTGGCCCATACCTAAGCCTGCCTGGCCAGGATTGTCACAGTGGCTGCATTCCTCAACCCTAGGGTGACAGCTCCTGATGGATAGTGTGCCTAATGGACGAAAAAGTGGAAACTATGGAGGCAGTTACACCAGCTGAGAACTTTCTGCGTAGTTATCCAGGCATGAAGGTTTTTGTTGTGGATTTGAAGTGTCAAGGTCAAAATACACATGACAGTACAGAGGAATAATGGAGATAACTTTTCAATGATATTCCTAAGATGAAAAGTCTTAGATGATAAGAAACAGGATGTCAGCAGGTAAGGGGTGATGATGCTGTGGGAGAAACATCAATTAACTTAAAACAAGCATTTTGCAAGTAAAATGGGGAGTCAAACGATGAAATCGTCTCACTTATGTCGCTTTTATTTTCTAGTTTTTATTTTTATTGTTGAGCATATATTGCTTTTGTAATTAATTAAAAATCATTATGTCCTGCTTATTACATTCGAAGCAAAACAATTATCATTTTCCTGTTAGACTATTAATTTGCCAATTTTTTCTCAAAGAATCAACCTTCGATTTATTAAATCTACTGTTAAAAAACCCCACACATATTCTAATGTATTAACTGGACTTTTATTTATTTTCAGTTACTTTCTTATTCTTTCCTTAGATTTGGTTTTGCTGTTTCTTTTCTAACTTCTTGACCTAAAGGTTTTGTTGCTTTATTTTCATTCTTAGTTTTAGAGAATTTTAACTCCATGAATCTGCATCTAAGAAACACTTTAATCTTATGTCATGAATTTAGATTTATAGTGTTCTAACTATTGTTATTCTCAACCTTTCTGAGACTGCTATTTTGATACATCCTATTTCACCCAAGTTCTGTTTAGAACAGAGGTTTTTAATCGCCAAGTCTTTCTTGCACATACTTTAGTAATTAATTTCTTTTTTTATTATATCACAATCAGCAACTGGGGTTTTTGTAACTTTGAATTTCAAGGTCGAATATTTTAAGTGATGCCTCAGTACTTGAAAAATTGGACAATAGATATCTGTGTGGATGTATACAGAACTGTGTGGGTATGTATCTTTGTAATTTTCTACTTGTATTTATAGTAATTTTTGTTATATTTATTTAAATGCTAACTTAAAAACATTTTGAATTTTACATGATGGTAAATAACAGTCATTAAAGTGGCGATTCAGATATGGATCAGGAAAGGGGGGAACGGTAGAGATGTTATCTGTTGAGGTCTGCTTATCATTACAAGCCACGCGACATTACGGAGAACAAGTGGACCCAGAAGCGCAGTCACATTCTACTAATACTGAGCTTCACTTAATTCTCAGTCAGTCTTCAACCTGTTAGTCACACCCATAAGTCACTGGCAGTCGTTGCCTCAGTCTGCTATATCAGATCATTCAGATTAGATGAAGGTATTTACACCCAAAGTCGCAGGAAATATTCAGTTACTCTCCTAAGAACTCATATTACTGTCCGTGATGATTTATTCTAGGAGGAAAAGAAACTCTTTATTTTTTTCTTGGAAAAGACATGCAATTTGCTCTTCCTCATGCTTTGGACATGAATTTTAATACTTGGGGTTATGTACAGTAGGTCTGTCAGTTGTGATCATATGCACTTCATACCCTTTATTTCTGTTACTTGACTAACTTGAAGTATCTGGCTCATAGCTGTATAAGCTAAACAAAGTATTGCATAGAGCACAAACTTTGTAGCCAGACAGGCATAGATTTAAAACCAGCTTTCCAACCTTTTTAATTGCATAATTGTGGGTAAGCTAATTAACTTTCTTGGTTAAGCAAAAATGAGTTAATTATTATCTCCCTCTAGAAAGGGATCTTGCCTCAGAGACTCAAAAAATATCAATATTCTTTTTCTCAATCTCTTGGCTTTGCTTCTTTCAGTGTGTTTATCTCATTATCTTGTATTACAGGCAGGATTTCCCCAAAATATAGGGGAAGAGAAGATTGTGGTCTAGACTTCCATCTTTCCATGTAATGACGCTAGAAGAAAAAGAAAGCTTCTCTCTCAACATCTGAATATATAATCCATGTTAAGAACCCCATCAGAATCATCATTATGAGATTGCTTGATCCTAGGTTACTTGTTCACACTCTTTAAACAGCAGGACAGGATATTATAGCCATACCAGATTTACAGGGAGTTGCACGGGAGAATTCCACTAAGGAGAGGGGTGATATTAACAGAAAATGCGGGGAAAGAATCTTGGGTAAGGGGGAAAAACCTGATGTTTCTATAACCTGTAAGCCTCAGCTTCTACAAGTAGAAATTGGAATTACTAATAGTACCTATTGATAGGACTGTTTGAGGACCAAAGGAGATAGAGAAAGCACTTATCCCAGGACCTCCATAATAGGTAGTTACTACAAATAAGTAACTGCTTTAACAGCTGTCCAACTTGAGGAAGCCTCTTTGCTATGGACTGAATGTTTGTATCCCCCCCAAAACTCATATGTTAAAATCTAATCCCCATTGTGAAAGTGTTAGGAGGTGGGGCCATCGGGAGGTGATTAGGCCATGAGGATGGAGCCCTCACGAATGGGGCTAGTGCCCTGATAAAAGAGGCTCCAGAGAGCTCCATCCACTCTTCTGCCACATGAGGACACAGAAAGAAGACAGCCATCTGTGAACCAGCAAGTGGGTCCTCGCCAGACACTGAATCTGCCGCCACCTTGCTCTTGGACTTCCAACCTCCAGAATTGTGAGAAATAAATTTCTGTTGTTTATAAGCCACTCTATGGTTTTTTTGTTATGGTAGCCCCAACGGACTAAAATAATCCTCTTTCTAGGAATCAAATGCAATGTCAAGTCATATCCCAAAACTACCTGCAAATATAACCACAAGATAGAAGCTCCCTTCATCGGGAGCATCCTGGGCCCCAGAAATGGTCTTGCTACTCAGTAAAGGAGGCTTCAGTGCAGAGGTGCTCACAGCCTTACAACCATTTGTGCAATCATATCCAGGCAAAATTTCCAGCAAAAGAAAAGGCATGCTCTGACTCCTTTTTTCTCATTTTTCAGAGGGAAGAAATTATTGGCCCAAGGGAGAAATCCTTTTATAAGCTACTTTTACATTAACTGGGATGCTCATTTATTTATGAAGACGATGTATAAAAAGAGCAAGCAAGCAGGATTCCTAAACAAAAGGGGCTCAAACCAATAGACGTGTTGAAGCTATTCATGGTCCCCCAGAGCAGGTGAATATTCTGTGTGTCTCCCAGGGAGGTCACCTGGATCCCAGCCTGCCTTATTTAAGAATAAAGATCATGATTTATTAATAATTCTGATCTCTAAGAAGGAAAATTGATTGTGACTAGAGGCTTCATCCCCTACTTATGAATTTTCCTAATCATGCCCCATAAATTTGTCCTATGAATTTACATAATATTTAATTTTTAAGGAGATCGTCAAATTCTAATTTATCCTCCCAATACCAAAATAGAAAGTTAATAAATATTTTATGCTATTTTAAAGTGGAAGGATTGAAACAAGGCAAATTCATGTTCCATTTCAACTAGCAGAGCAACATAGGTTTGAACTCTGCTTTCTTTGCACAATTTAATAAAGAAGGGTCTTAATTATAGATGTGGAAAAGCAGACAAGGATGTCTGCTGTCACCGTTTATGTTCATATTGTACTGGAAGTTTTATTCAGAGTAATTAGGCAAGAAAAAGAAATAAAAGGC